GCTTTTGCTTAAAGCAAACCATAGCAACTGCAAAAAAGTTACCTGCACCCCCTAAGCTCAGAGTGAATTGCTCAAGCATTACTAATTTTGAGGTGGGAGGAGTTGAAGAAATGAGGTCTTTTTATATAAAAAGATTAAATGACTCATGAAAACTCTTTCGGCATAGCTTATACGTGCTTGACAACATCAACATATATAGCACCTTCCATCACTCAGGTGCTGTACAAGCTAGTTAGAGTTCAACAGTTAAAACCCAAACCTTGCCTTTATTACCAGCAAAATCAACCTCACTTTCACACGACAAGAAGAACTTAATAAAAATATTGGGCATAACGTGCTATTTCTGAAAGCAGGGAAGTGGTTGTTACTGAGTAAAGTTTCCATATCAGCTCTATAAAGTACCTTTCACTTGACATTCAATATATCAGTGTTTAAAAAGTCTAAGGTACCTGACACAGCAGTCCAGGAGATTTCCCTTTGGCCAAATTGTCTGTAAGGGAACAGGTCAAAACAATCACAACCACTTCTGGTTTCTGACCGTGGCCAAATTTCTGGCCTAGTCATCACCAGTAACAGTAACACTGGCACAGAAGAAAAACCTGAAGATTTTCTTCAGCGCTCAAAGGGAAGAGCCACACCAACCACAGAGGATAGAACTGGAGCTAATCATCTGCTGAAGAGGTCTATTAAACAGGAACCAAGATCAACAGGCATCTCTGGATCTCAATGTCTGGTCCACCTATCAATAACTGTGTTGGGTAATCATTTTCTAGAGTAATCAAATCACAAATTGTTTTTGCTCTCCGACACTCTTAGGATATTCCGGAATCTAGATCACCTAGCAATCTGATACTTATTTTCACACTGTTTTTAGCTACAGACAGCTCATATATACTGCTTTTGCCATGTACAGATCTTCCTTTCTGTCAGTCCTGCTTCCAGCTCTCAAACCCCTGCATCACATTTACCACAAAAAAGACCTTGAGGGGCTGGAGCGGGTCCAGAGAAGGGCAACGGAGCTGGTGAGAGGTCTGGAGAAGAAGTCTGATGAGGAGAGGCTGAGGGAGCTGGGGGGGTTCAGCCTGGAGAAAAGGAGGCTGAGGGGAGACCTTCTGGCTCTCTCCAACTCCCTGGAAGGAGGGTGTAGCCAGGGGGGGTCGGTCTCTGCTCCCAAGGAACAGGCCATGGGACAAGAGGAAATGGCCTCAAGTTGCACCAGGGGAGGTTCAGATTGGAGATTGGGAACAATTTTTCCATGGAAAGGGTTCTTAAACCTTGGAATGGGCTGCCCAGGGAAGGGGTTGAGGCCCCATCCCTGGAGGGATTTCAAAGCCGGGTTGCCATAGTGCTTAGAGCCATGGGTTAGTGATGGTTTGTATCAGAGTGAGGTTGGGGATTGGACTGGATGATCTGAAAGGTCCCTTCCAAACCAGACAATTCTATGATTCCACAATTCTATCATTCTGTCAGCTAAGCACTTTTGCTCAGCAGAGCTAGATTTATACTGTATTGAGCACCATAGTCCTGGTCCCTTGACTTAGCATGAAAGAATTAGTCTAATGGGGAAGCTAAGGCTGGATCACAACCAAAGACTCGGTAACAATATTGCTCTTCCTCAAGCTCAGATGTTGAAAAAGGAAGTCCAACAGAAGTTAAGATCATATGTAAGCAATGTGCCATGTTGTGGTGTACACAGAAAGCCAGACAGTATTACAGATGCCACAAACAGCCTGATAAATGTCTTAAGAAATACCAAAGACCTGGGCTCCACTGCTTTTCTCTGAAATCTTTGCAATTTAAAATAAAAAAATGCAGAAACTTTCTCAAAGTGCTGTTGGCCTTCCACACTGAAGACAGATCACCCACAAAGGAAGAGCGTCTATCCATCAGATGACACACGAGTGGCTTTCCTTAATTAGAGACCAGCTAACATTAGAACTGGTAAGTGAACAGAAGGCTCCATACATTGCTCCTGCTTCCACCTACAACCTTTATCTCGGTTCCTCCGCACCCTATACCCACTGCCTACCCCACAGTATCCCCTTTGTCTTCTTCCCACTTGATTTTCTGCCTGAAACAACTCTCCTCCTCTTACGTGCCAGGTAGAATTCTCTCCTTTTCTTTCAGTACTTCCTTACACCAATTCCCTCCAGCTTCTTTGTTCCACTCAGCTCTGTCGGGGGGCTTCCACTGCTATTATCCACACTGCACAACAGGGGCATTGCTTCAGTCATCACACACCTTGTCATTCAAGAAGACAAGTGTGGGCTTGAAGTCCTCCTGTTAAAGCATGCCTGATGGGGCACCTGAGATCTCAGGCCTCACAGTGAATAGCTGCTCCCTTTTAGCTGTTCATCCAGCAGTGATAACTAATCCTTCGATCCAAAATAAAAGCCCGAAGGGGAATATGCTCATATAAAAGATAGAAATGAATTCAGGAGTCCCTGTGCTCTAGTTTGGAATCATAGATCAAGATCAGAAAAATGGTCATTCTTTCACACCAAAGGGAGCAGCGTTCTGGGGAATCGAAGAGCAGCCCTGCCAGGGATAAGAGTTAATTATGAAATATGTCTGAAGATAGGGCTGGCGATTGGCATTTAGTCTGCCCCACAGAGCACTCGAAGTGCACACCTGGAGCAGCCAGGATGTGCCCTTTTACAGGTGCACGTTCCATTCAACCCAGGGCCTTCCTGCCTGCATGAATCCCCTAACAGCTACTGAAGGATATCTCTGTTCACCTCAGCATCCTACACGACAAAATTTGAAACATTCTTATTGCAATTTACTCCCGCATGAGAGGATCTCCCTACAGAAATCTACAGTAAGCGTGGAGTTCTTCAGCTACATCAGGTGTGCACACACAGCAGGTCCTGCACAGAAACCTGACCCATCCGAGTTCCTTTTGCTTTACTGCTTGGCTTTGGAAGCACGTGCAGTGCTTAACACTTCTGAGGCACTTCACGTTTCCTAAACACTATACAAACACCAGCTAATGAGAGACAGGGCTCCCCAGTTCCAGAAGGACAGGGAACTGCTGGAGAGGGCACAGCAGAGGCTACAGAGATGATGAGGGGCCTGGAGCATCTCTCTGATGACGAAAGACTGAGGGACTTGGGTCTTTTTAGTCTGGAGAAGAGAAGGCTGAGGGGGGATCTGATCAACACCTATAAATACTTCAAGGGTGGGTGTCAGGAGGATGGGGCCGGTCTTTTTCCGGGGACAGGACAAGAGGGAACGGGCACAAACTGGAACGTAAGAAGTTCCATCTCAACACGAGGAGGAACTTCTTTGCTGTGAGGGTGGCAGAGCCCTGGCAGAGGCTGCCCAGGGAGGTGGTGGAGTCTCCTTCTCTGGAGACATTCAAACCCCACCTGGACACGTTCCTGTGCAACCTGCTCTGGGTGGCCCTGCTTTGGCAGGGGTTTGGGCTAGATGATCTCCAGAGGTCCCTTCCCACCCCATAGCATTCTGGGATTCTGTGACAGCTAACGAGACTATCCCAAGACACTAAATCTCAGTGTGTAGCAAGGATGTTTACTTTTTCCTCAAAAAAAAAGGGAAAGTTAAGAACCGAAAGATGCCTAACAGCGTGCTCTCTGAATTGTGAAGCAGGACCTGCAGACAAAAGGAATTCTATTTGAGGTGTACATACTGCCAGGGTGTGGGAAAAACCCAGCACAGCCTGGCCAAATAGGAATGGACCCAGTTCACAGGTAACTGCTGAGAAGGTATCACACTGTCAGATGCAATTTCTATTCACAACAGACGTCCCCAGCGTACACACTCCTCTCCTGAACTGGCACTACACTGCAGCCATGCCTCTAGGGGCTCTGTTCTAAAGAAAACAATCTAAAAAAAAAAATTGCTAATCCTTTAATTAGGGGCACCCACTTCACCTTCTACAGGAATAATTTAGAAAGTCTGAATGGGCCACATGTCACACAAGGCGAAAATTTAATAACTGAAAGTGACTCAGATTGTTGGTTCATTTCTCTGCACCTACCCTCAGCTGTGCAAAGCTACTGGAGGGAAGCACTCAGTGTTAATTGAGAACAGCTTCAGAAACCACTCATCACCACCTTCTTCAGAAGTCATCCTCTCTCAAATTTCTGATGGGAGCTGCATTACACCAGCCAAGTCGCTGATCCCAGGTCTCAAGCACAGCTCCAGGAATACACAATTAGGGCCACGTTGCTTTGAATTTTCATAAACCTCTTGTTTAAGCCACAACAGCAAGGGGATTAACTGCATTTTCCTAGCTGAGCTACTGCACTGCTTGCAAGATAAGAATGGAAGCACACACCATATCCACGAAAGAAGCCTGTCAGGTCTCATCATCCGTTCTGCTACCCCCTTCCTCAGACCTCTCACACAACAACTCCATCATGAAACAGTTCTCCAAGGCTACATCCACTAGATTATGAGAAACAAGTCAGACCCCATAATATTTATCTATTTCAGGATAGAATCATAGATGCCAGTGGCACGAACCAGACTATCTGCCATCAATGCAAAGGTCAGAGTTAAAAGCCTCTCTTCCCTCCCACTGACATTTCCAGGTTGCTCTTCAGAAGAAGCTGTTCTGTGTGTACCCCTCTCTTACTGTAAAAAGGGAAGGTAAGGTTTCACCTCCCTTTACCCAAAAGCCTACCTCCTGTCTACTCCAAATACCTGAGAGAGAATCGCTACTGCATAAAACGTTACTCCATTTCTCCAATCAGGTGGAGAGGAATTCAGGTAATGTAACAGAAAAACAAAGGCGTTTGGATACCATGGTGATCATGGCCAGACAAGAAAGTAAATTAGCTCCCATTATGATAATGACCTGGCTTTCAAAAAGAGGTAATTTGCATGTAGCAACTAAGAAGCAAAATAAAGATGCTTTATCAGAATCGCTGCTCGCTGTTTAACCCCGTACAATGGAAGAAACAGTCATGGCCACCAAACAGCCACCCACTCCGGGCTGTTCCTATCTGACTGTCCCCACAGATGCAAAGTACCTGACCAGAGCTCCCTCCAGGTGTAATGAAGCCTCACTCGGCACTTCTTCTGGTAGCACAGCAGCTTGTGCACGATCTGAATGCACCGCCTGGAAAAGAGAGGGCAAAGGATTAGTTACATTGCATTTCTCTAGCAATTCTACATCAAACCTGGAAACACCTCTGAAATCAGCAGAAACAAACTCAAAGCCTGTCGGAGCAGGATGGGGCTCATGGGTTTGGGGTCCTAAAGGGAAGCAACACCCGCAAGAAAGGACCAGAAGAGAGGAGAGAAGGGGGCCTGTGCACCCCCTGTAGCTCAACACAATTGGACCAACTACAGACACAAGTTATATTTAATTAACACTTTCCATTCTTTGCTGGCCTTACCTGAGGGCCTGGTGAGCTCTACAATAGGTGTTACTTAACTTGCAGGATCCGTATGTACAAGATACTGTGCTCAGATTTTGTAAAATCTGGACACAATGGAGCTTTTGAGTTTCTTTGGCCCAAATGATGAGGCTAAAGGAAATACAGACTTGAACAAAAAGCAGTTTTTTTAGTTTGACTGAGTAAGAAAGAGACCTGTCAAATTTTCCAGTCTGCTTAGACAAATAATTTAAGTATGAGCTTCGGAATGATCAAGAAATACAGCTACAAGCTGTGAAATCCCCAACACACAGCTAGTATGTAGACTCGTGAAGCCTCTGAATCCTGTAGGTCTCTCCACCATCTAAAGTTCATACAAACTCGTAGGTGCACAAGCTTTTTTCAGAAATAACATCAGAACTAAATATACAATCTAACAAGTCAATTCTCTACCACTAGCTATCATTAAGGACAAGACAGAAAATATATACAAATTTGAATTTGTTAGATCAAGCTATTTTTAATTATTGACATTAAAAAATAATAATAAAACAGAAGGTAGACTTCAAAAAGGAAAATTTGCTTTTTCCCCAAATCCTTATTTCTCAAAACCACATTAACTTATAAATATCAACATCTCTCTGAAAAGACACTACTGAATGACACTACACAACAGACAAACCTAGAGAAATCAAATTTAAAAAAAAAAATTGCACAGAATTTATTCAAAATGCAGGAGAGTTCAAAATAAAGCTTTAACAAGCCTTAAGAAATAATATGTAAGAGGGATACAGTATTCTTTTCAGACCTTTAGATGATCCCAAAAATACCACATTGGAGTAAGGACTGAAAATAACTCCAGATGAATAAAGGTAAAACCATTTATAATAGCTGAACATCACATTAAGTGCTGTATTTCAAATTGGATTGTCATAAATTCAAACAAGAAAAGAAAGCAAACCAGCTGGGATCCAGACAGCTGCCTCCAGCTCAGGAACAGCCATCGCTCTGGGGACAGACCTGCTATTTCTGATGCTGCTGTTACCAGACAATGCCCAGTACCTTTCCACCTACGTATTTGCTTGGCTGCAAGACTCAAATTGGCCTCTACAATAAAACTATTTAAGGCACTGATCAGAGAGAATCTGACAAAGGCTAAAACGTTTCCTTTGTAATTGCAATAGATGTTAATGCAAAATAATCTGTGGACACCTCAGCATTGAAACCTTGGGGTGGTATACAGCAGCATAAAGCTTTTGGGTGAAATCAAGGCACAGAAGAAAAGGGGTACTAGGTCGTTAGGCACCTCCTCACCCCTCTCTAAGGAGCCAGAGCACCACCTACCAGCCTCCAGACTCCCAAACCACACTGCTTTAGTTATGAAGTTATCCATTCCGGTGAAGGGGCTGGTTTTTATCTTTGTGCTGAGGATTCATAACACACATAATGGACTAAAACCATCCTTAGTCAAAGCAACCTGGATTTCTCTTTTAAATATTAATATGCCCTCCCTTGAGCAGCTTCATATTGTCACCTTTTAAACGTATTGCGGAGCAGTACGACACTGTTTGTGCATTCAGAACACCCCCTTTGTCTGCAATAACCGCGTCTGCTACGGGATGGTTCCAGACAGGAGCACAGGGAAGGGACTGCACAGACATGCCAAAACTAATGGATACAGATGTCCACTGATGGCTGCTACTGCCTATTATTTTTACTTTCACGGGTTTTCTAAACGTGCCCTTACCTTTGAGCCCGAGCATTTTTCACCTTTCTCGTGAAATCCCAATGAATTACACCCATCTACAATTAATTACCTAAATGTCATTAAAATAAAACATTTCTCACAAACTCAGAATTGAACTATACAAGCCTTGCAAAGGCACTGTAGTTGTGGGATTATCTGGGCAAAATCAGAACATGCTGAGAAGTTAGATGAAGGGAAAACAGCCCACGTACCTTTATCCCTTCTACAGAATAAAGTGCTGTTCAAGCCTTGGGGAAATTCAGACCTGTCCAGTGAGGGTAAAGCCAATGCTCTGCCTAAATCCTATTTCTGCCCTTCAGGTTAAAGCAGAACAAAGCATTCTAGGGGCCTCCTGGGACAGATGGAGTGTTCATGTGGAGTGGCCCTGTCCTCTTCTCTCCTTTTCCCCCTTGCTGCCTAGCAGGTTATTCCAGGCTTAAACCTCTCCCGGTCTCCACACTGCCTTGGTTCTTCAAAACCCTCTTTTCAGTCTCTAGACCGAGATTTAGTTTCTAGAAGTAGGGATTCTTGCAATGACTGTGTATTATGAAACTCCTTTCTGATTGAAAAGCTCTTTGTATTTGATGAAGTAGATTAGGAAATCAGTCTGAAAGGTGGAAATTCACTTCGCTTTCAATTTTCTAGCACACAGAGTGTTGTAGAAGTAGGAAAAATTGCTGGAAGAGCTGATGAAAAGCCACCCTGCTCCCCACCAGCCACAAAGTATTATTTCAGACAGAAGATTGCTCTATGACTAGAATTCTACCTAAATTCAAACTTAAAATGAAATTACGAGTCACCCCACAGACACTTACACATAGAGATCCATAGGAAATTCTTTCATCATGTGTGTTACAATGAACTCCACCATCAAATCTGACAGAAAAGAAAATGATAAAGTAAGTATTGAGCTGGCTACAGTTAACTTCTAGTAGACAACAATGAGGAAGTCAAACTAGTCCATCTACCCACCTCTACCAGACAATAGTCCTGCTTAGATGAGAAAACTTCCCCTCTTTTTTTTTTTTTTTTTATTTTAAAGAGAATTAGACATCATCTGGAATAGAAAAAAAACTACTGGAAACTGAGAGCACGTCATTTGCTTTGAGGCACTGCTTCTCCATATGCTTCCCCCCACTATTCATCAAATAAAGAATACTCCATGAATTCTGATGCTTAGAATTGTTCTCACATTTCCAGCCTTGTCACTAATGGAAAATTCCACTGAGAAGCACATTTTAGAAAATCATTCTTACCAGAAACCACACACAACCTAGATGTTTAGAAAGAAGACATTGTAGAGAACACATATTTTTCCCCTAAAATAAATTCTGAAGCAAGTAAACCTTGTCTGATCTCAACACAGACAAAGCTTCTGCTTAAGGCTCATTCAGGGATGGAAAAAAAAAAGGCAGAATATCTCTGTTCCGGTTTGAAGTAAAACAGAACCAACTTTCTGTTCAGTAATTTTACATCTTAGCTAGGCTTCTTCTAACTCTCTGAAATTAACAGGGAGAAAACTGCTTGTTCTCAGAGTGGTAAGACCAATGTTTGTACTACATGCCAATATATTGTATCTATTTCATTATTTCCTTTTTGATTTTAACATTAATTCTCCATTAAAGTAGTTTAGTTCATTCTAAACTTGTAGATCTCCTTATCTCTTCCTCTCCTTTCTTTAGGGTAGGCTTCTTCTAACTCTCTGAAATTAACAGGGAGAAAACTGCTTGTTCTCAGAGTGGTAAGACCAATGTTTGTACTACATGCCAATATATTGGATCTATTTCATTATTTCCTTTTTGATTTTAACATTAATTCTCCATTAAAGTAGTTTAGTTCATTCTAAACTTGTAGACCTCCTTATCTCTTCCTCTCCTTTCTTTAGGGAGGGGCATCTGTCATTCTGATTGGCCAATCCAGCCAAAACCACGACAATCTCTAACGTTAATCCTCCCAGAGTGAGGATAAGAGGCAGAGTTCAGAAATACAGTCAAAAGAGGTAAGTTGCTATGGTTCAGGTAATAAACACTAGCTGAATGCTGAATGTGTGTGTTCTCTGCCCAACACAACTTGGGCATAAAATGCTTAACCTGTGCCAGTGGTACCAGTTGTGAGATGTAACCTCCTGGGGCAACAGCCCAGCAATACAACCCAATAGTGACTATAAACAATCTAGGGAAAGAGTGCATGAAAACCGGTAAGTCTATAAAGATTCTTCATGCAGCTTTGTGTCTTGGCTTCAACAATCACCCATTTGAAAACGCTGGAGTCTGAAACTGCTCCCATATCATCAGGCCTCAGAGTCATTAAGGGATCCAGGCTGTGTCCATTTCTGCACCCATTTATGCTTTTGGTGTCCCAAGTTATGAGTGTCAGAATCTAACCATATGCTGTGTGAAAAGCTTTCAACTGAGCCTCCATACCCACATGCAAAACCAACCCCAGCTACTCACACTCCTGGGGGTTTACGCTCAGAAAAGGCTAAATGCCCAGAAAACACCCTCCCCCAACAAACATCTGTCCTTTCTGTAGCTTTGCCCTCATAATATCTAGAAAGTACTTGTGACCAACTGTTACTAGACCCACCTAAAAGTCTGAATTTATGTATCAGCTGCTCTCCCTATTGTCACTTAGTCAGGTAAAGGGGGCCAAGAGGCTTCTGCAGAAGATGCTTTGGGAACCACAAGTGCTCTGACAACACTCACCAAGCACCGCACACACCAGCGGGCGACAGGGCAGGTTCTTGTCTGCTGCTTTCTTCCTATGTCGCATGGGCTTCAAACACACAAAGATGAAAAGAAGTCAGTAGAAGCCTGAAGGGACATTCTGTGTATTACTGTATTTTTCATGCAAACAGTGTCACCAGCAGAGTCTTCCCTCTGTCTTTTTCTCCAACTGCAATCTCACCTGTAGTGATCCTAAAGGCCACGACTGGAACAGAATTGTGCCTGCTTTGCAGAGTACTGAGCACTGGGGTTTTATTTAACTACGTAACTGGAGGGCACTGTTAGATCATGGGCAGGGGGAAGGAGGAAACAAAAAAATACAAATCCCACAGCGATTCCTCCCCTTTGGTTAACACACTGATTTGTCCCTGACCCACAAGTCCAATCTGCATTGTTAACAGTGTTAAATGGCCTTGGTCTTTATTGTAACAGACCAGAAAGGTGAATTGAATGGCAAGTTTGTCTTTAAGTGGGAATGACCAGCCTCCTTGCAGGATGCTCGCTATAAAGTAAGGTGTTTGCTTCTGTCCTGGACCAGTGACACTTTGAAGTGCTGCTGCACTGTCAGATGAGGTGGAACTCACCAGCATCACAAAGAGAGAATGCAGCAAGTTAGGACAACCATTCAAGTTACTTGTACCTACAGAGCTTCAGGAGCCAGGTAAGGACACTCCCTCCACAGGCACTTACAGGAAAAAGCTCTGGAAAAAATACTTTCCTTCTCGAAGAGTCACCCCACCCAAGATGAAGCATAAGCCAAATTAGAGCACTCAGTGTAACTCCAGCTGGCTATTAATATATCAAGAGGGGTAATGCTTGCTGAAGATTAAGGCAGAATGTTCTCTCTGGTACTGATTTCCTCAGAGACCACATAATACTCAGCCCCTCCCCAGCTACACAGGCCTCTGAATTAACCAAGAGGGCAACCAGCTCTTTGTTCTTTGAAAGAGTGAGACATTCTGAAAGCTATTTCAAAATCATTCCCCAACTACTGCATTTCTCACAGTATTTCTACGTGCCTTAGCAATCTAGGTTAGATGTCTGTGACACAGTTTTCAACATACAGGGACTCAAATCCTCTGTGCTCTGATCCCAAGGAGAAAAAAAGGACCATCTGGAGGAAAAGACTCACCATTCTGTGTAGGTTCACTCGAAAATTCATGTTGTCATCATGGAGAAAAGCATTAGCATACTGATCCTATGAAAAGAGCAAGAAAAAGGAGGAGATATGAATAGCCAACCCCATCACCTTCCACTTGACTCTCAAATCACATGTGTTTCAGTGTAAAACCCCCAACGACACAGCTGTAAGGGTAGAAAGGCACCTGTCACCTCCTCTTGCCCCGACACGTCCCCAGTCATGCAAAAGTAAACCCCTGCTGATTCCAATTCCACTTCCCAATTCACAAGTTCCCATGACTGTGTGGACAAAGGTTTACGTTGGTGTTTTGACGGACCCATCATGCCAGAAGTTACTGCAGTACTAGCAGGTAGGTTTATCATCTGTCCCACGCCTCAGACAAAGCTCATTCCAAGACCAGCTCTAAATCCAAGTCATTCCTCTAGATAACACACAGCCAGGCTGGGTAATAAACACCCCTCCGTGTAATATCAGAGCCAAAACATGCCTTTGCTATGTGGAAACACAATTTCTTATCTTGTGTTATCTGTGCACCCACCTGAAGAACTCAAGTGCCAAAGACAATTAATTGTAAATATTTGAAATGCAGATGATTAGCTTCCAGGCTGCACCCTGAAGAAATATTACTTCAGAATCCTTACACTGGCTATCAACATCGCTGCTTTTTATTCTTTGTTAAGAATGAAAGGTCTTTACTTGCAAGCAAGCAAAATGCAAATGCCACGCAAACCCAATCACTATCCAGGACATAAATCAAGTCATTAGGACATAATTTCCACGAGACAGGACCACATTCAGCCAGGGCTGCTGACTTAGCTCTGTGATAGCTTTCTCCCCACGCTACCAGATTTCCTCCTTGCCTTGCTGGAGAGACCTACAACCATGAGGTTTGCTTTCAGAGACATATCCTTCTTAAGCAGAAGGGATATGGCATCGCCCACGTTTACCATGAACAGTACAGGGCTGAAAGCCATTAGCTCATTACTCATCTAAAAGGAACACCGCAAGGTCACTCAACACCTAAGAGAGAAAAGGCTGAGGTCCACTCTTTTCTCTCTTCATTCCCTTTGAATTGGGAGTTGGCTAACCCAAATAAGATAACTCAATTTTCAAGTCAGTTTTAATGGTACTGCATCAGGTTTATTAGCCAAACATTAAGTGCCTGAGGTCCTCTGCTCAGTACCACCGTGGATTGTCAGCTCCTCCTCAGTAGGAGGCAGGGGATGTGAGTGCAGACAGAGTCCTGTAACACACCATCTGCTGAACAGTGTCACACAAGAAACCTACCTCTGCTATGCACGTCAGGATAATCAGACACAGCTTGCCACTGTGTAGCCGATGCTCATCTGCAAAAAAGAAAAAAAACAAGTTTTCCATGAGCCACACAAGCCTAGCAATGCTGAAGAGTGAGGTTGCTGGCATTGAAAGAGAAAAGCCCAGCCTTGGAGATTATTCTTCAAACTCCTACTTCCTCCATGACAGCCTGTAGTCTCGCTGTTCTCATTAAGCACGCGCTCTCCAGCCTGCCCACTAAACCCCACCAATTTGTCACCAGTCTGCACCAACAGCCAGGTGTGTGATTTGAACCTCTAACAGCACTGTAACTATCAGTGGAGCTTCTGTTTCACTTCCACAGATAGTATACTGGGGTCAGGATATAGATATATACATATATATATAAATACTGGGGTCAGTCCCTGTCTTTCTATTACCGCAGAGATGCACTTTTCCCTCTCTTAGACAAGATGGAAAGAAGAAGATCACCTTTCCTGTAGATTATGAAACAAGCAGCAAATCTTCTGTAGAAGCATAGCACAATGCAGCAGAATGACTCCCAGCATTACGCTCAAAGTCCTAAGTTTTAACCCCAATATTGAGAGATATAACCCACTCTGCTCTGTGCAAAGCCACGAAAGAAGGACTTCCACCCCAGTCATGTGCCACAACTTGTGTTCATCTTGCAACTTCAAGCACCTTTTGCCCTGAGTGACAGCTGGAGGGCTGGAAGACTCACAAATAGAGAGGAACTAAGGCAGAAGTACATAATTTTTATTTAGATTATTTAAATCTCTTCTCTCTCAACTTTAACCTTGAAATACCAAAAACCCCAAGATACATACAGTGGTAGAGTAACTTGGGGTGGAAGAAACCTCTGGTTCAATCTTTGCTCAAAGCAGGGCCAGCTAAAACTGGGTTGTTCAAGGCATTGTGCAGTCAAGCTCATCTTAAAAATCATTGTTCTAAAAAAAAAAAAAAAAACAAACCCCACACACGACCAAACCCACAAACAACAATCAAACCAAAAAACAATCCCAGTGACACACCTCTAACTAAATTCTGAGGATGCTTAAAACTGCACATTCGTGAGACCTCCAACAGCTTCTCCAGTGCAGAAGACTACTGCACAAGCCATCCCAGGCACCTGCCTTAGAGTCACACTTGGAGGAGAGGTAAATTTGAAAGAGTCAGACCACTTTCATCAAAATTAGAAGACGGCATCAGACAAACTCCTTGCATCTCTGTAGATCACTTTTACAAGCACTTCGCTACTTACTGTGTATGCGGTAATCTACGAAAATAGAGAGAATGGGCTTAGCTAGCTGTTCTGTCTACTTTGATGCCTCTTTTGTTTTCTCTTCTGTGCTGCTGAGGGACAGATATTTACTAACAAGATGTGCCCTGAAGTATGCAGATTTCATCTTGCTGCACTAACTAAGATGAAGAGGAATTTTGGAACGGGAGAGTTAAAAGACTCTTCTGTGTCTCCTTACCTCAGCTAAAATGTTTAAGTGAGAAGTTTTCTACTCAAGCAAAGCAGGAGAAGTGGCCTCAAAGAGCTCTGATACACTGGAGCCTTGTTATTTTCCTATTGTAAGGCCTCCTGGTGTATTCTTGTAGGTGCTGCTTCCACTTCCCTCTCTGGGGAGCGTGCTGTAGAGGCTCCCATTTCACTCCAAATACTCTGCTTTTGGCCAATGTGTTGTGAAATCATGCCATTTCCAGCAGTTATGGGGCAGCTACGCACAGTTACTCACACAGGCATTTCACACTCTCACAGCATCCTTCATGAAAGGAAGAAAGCAGACCACGTCCTGTGGGGAGGGGTATCAGCATGAACCCTATTTTATACATGGGATAAAATGGTGCAGAGTTTTTGTTTCTCCCACAGCAGCTGCTCCTGACTGACACAAGAGAGAAACCAAGAGGGGGATCTAGCAAACACAATCTACTAAATTATGCTCTCTGGGACAGGACAAAAACAACTGGACGGGGAACAAACCAGCCTCCCCTCTCAGTGTTCCCACCTGCCTCACACATGGAGTAAATCAGAGTTACTCATTCTTCTTTTGTTGCTCTATTGGTGTCACTCACTTGGTCTTACACAAGAAAAAAAAGAGTTAGGCATCAAAATCCAAGGACAGGAATATAACCACCAGAATTAATAAGCACTGGTTTGGAAGGCACACTTAAACCATGAGTCAGTGGAGCTCATTGCCACACACCACTACCATGGCAGCAAGGAGATTAACGCAAATTTCAAACGTTATACAAGTTAGAACCAAAGTCAAGAAAGAAACATCAACTCCTGATTCATGCCAGAATAAACTCATCTCTCACTGGCTTGATTAGTAAGGAATCTCCTCTATCGTATTTCACTCCGTCTGAAACTAACCCAGTTGGGCAGCTCCCGAGGCCCTGTGCAGACTTCCCGCATTACAGTGATTAGTAAGTGTAGAAGTTAATTTGAAAAACATAAAATTGCTCCATCAGAAACTTGGATCAGCAAGAGAGACCCTGAGAAAAGCAAACGGGACTGGTTAGAGAGCTGGTAAGGGCTCCTCACGTGTGTAATTTATAAGAAATGACTGAGCAAAGACTGATGTGGTTTTGCTTAAAGACAAAAGCAAGAGGAAACATGAAAGCAGACTTCAAATGTGGGCTGACACAAAAATGAAAGAAATAATCCGTTCTCAACATCTATTTGATGATGTTGGGAGAAAATAACTAGTAATTCATTTAAATCATAACAAAGAATTTATGAAGCACGTGAAGCTTTCTAAAAACAAGGGCAGTTAAACACGGGCATGGATAGTCTAAAAATGACACTCCGTTCTCAGAGTGTCTTCATTCAAGCTGTTAGCAACATCCCTGAGAAAAGATACAGGTAATCCTGATTCTGCCTTGGTTTTCAAGGGTGCACTAGGTATTTTCATGAAGTCCCTTATGGTCCTAATTTCAATTATTCACTTTTTCCTCAACTAGCTTGCATACTGAATAAGAACAAGACAGGCAGGTAGAACTTCACTGCAAGTTAGTAAGCACAAGGAAACTCTCCTGCCTGCTGTCTTATTCAGTGCCAAGCATTCATGAAGGTCAATAATCAACGTATCATAGCTCTGCAGCTGTCTTCCTATTTTTCTTCAGTTTTTATATCTAACTTAACAGCAAAAAGTCGGTAATAGGCTGAAATAACAGTACAAAGATCACTTGTTATGTTCACACTAAAGCCCTGCCCATCCAACCAGTGGGAGAAACAGCACTCCTGGGTACCTTGAGCAGGAGATGAAGCAATATTTCAACTCCAGCAGGCTGAAATTAACATCCCCAAAACTAGCAGGAGAAACAAAAAGCACAATATGGAAATATATCTTCCTAAGCAAATTACTGCCAGTATAGTGTAAGTTACTGCTGTCCTCTTTATAATTAAAGAGCTACCTGTTTAACCAGCAAGTACCAAAGGAAATATTTCCTCCTAATGCTGAGCTTTGCCTCTTCTGTCAGCTTCTAAATGTTCTTAAAAATACAGTTCTCTGGACATGACCTCCCGTCTCTGAGAGACAGTTGGGAATCAGATATGCTCACACACAGGGAAAGGCTTGGTTATGAGGTACTATTATTATTATTACATTCTTTCCATATTTGACTTCTCTTCTGCCAGCATCAGGTCTCTCCTAGTCTCATAACTCTTATCTTGCAATAAGAAATCGTTTCATTTTCTCAAAAGGTGGAATCTTCAGTCCTCTAGAGGGACATCAGTTAACGTCTATTTCTGGAGTCACTAGACATGTTCTTATGCCCTCCCGACTTCAAGAAGCACTGCTTGCTGCATCCACAGCTGCATCAATAGAATTTATTTACCTTTTGTGTCCTGCATCACAATCGAGCTGTACTTCAAGAAGGTTATCAGCAGGTTGCTAGTTTGCACATCAGCATCCAAAGGCAGCTCTGCAGAGCTTATAACTGCAACAAAGCAGATAAGACAGATTTACCCTCCACCAATACAAGAGATAACTACACAGAGAACCAAGTCACAGATTCACAAATCTGGGATAGGAGCAGCTTGTTTGCAGGGTCACCCGACCCCCTCCTCCCTCATGACCACCCAGCAAAGATTTTTGATTGGTACCGATCCCCCAGAGACCATTTCTCCTGCTCTAAGTACCCAGCAAAGTGATACTCTTTGTCCTTTTCCCACTTCAAGGGCTCTCAGCCTGCTGTTTTAACACTCATCAACATTCTCAGCCTAGGGAGCTCAAGATATTCTCACCAATACCCAATTAATTCTTGCAACCAACACAGCTAACATTCTCTGTTTGGAAAGAAACACGCCCAGCAAACACCCTTCTCAGTTTCAGCAATTTTGGCATTTCTGTTCCAAAAGGTCCACATCAATTCCATTCTTCCCTCCCAACAACAGCCTCTCTTGCAGAAGCAACACAGGAGACAGTAACGTAACAATTACTGCATGATCGCAATGGTAGAAAAGAGAGGTAGAAAGAGCAGCTTTATAAAAATCAAGAAGCAGAAGCAATCATAGCTTGTGTTAGAGAAATCACAACACAGCAGGGAGCAGAAATGTGCTTTCCATACCTGCGGCAGAACAGCAGTTCATTGGCATTTCTCTTGGATACACTCCTTTTTACCACCAGCTGTACTTTTAACATCTTAACACCGGACATCACCTGCCTTAGACTTTACAAGAAGCTATCTCAATTACTCACGTAATTGCACAGCATCCCTCCTGCTCACTCCCCATGTACCATCTGAAGCCCTGGGTTTATGAGCTGACAAACCTCTACCACGTGACTGAGCCACGTTTTTACTGACGACCGTCCACTAGGGCCATGCTCAGCCTTCCCATTCAGAAAGGCTTTACGAGAAATATTGATAGGGAAAAAAGATAAGTGGGGAAAAACACAGCATGCATTCACCTGCAGATCCTGCCAGATAAGCCTGGTATCGTTTACAATAAATTAGCTCAGACAAAACCAAACAGAAGGATCTAGTCTAGGAGGACTCCAATAAAGCATTTAATACAGTTCTGTATGAAAAATTAAGAGTTAAGCAGATAGGTGGGAATCAATACAGAAATTCAAAGTATATCAAAGATCTGGCAAATGGAGAAATTATTAGTCTGGGAAGAAGTTACTACCTGAATTCCTTAGCTGTCAGTTTAGCAAACAGTTTTCTTTTCTGTAAGTGACCTGGGCATGAGAAACAGTTGCTTCCTTATGAATTAACTAATGGCAGAGAGTTGGGATATATAAACACAGAGAAATATCAGACTGGGCACAAAGAACAGGATAAAAACAAGAACCAGATAATAAAACCAAGATGAAATGCAACAACGCAAGCCATAAGGTCAAGGAATTCAGGGATTTATTTCCACAGCAAGCTGTGAGCTCCTTAGCTGGAAATGAAGCACTGTGGTACCACGGTACAACACCAGATCATGGTATGACGTGGTACAAACATGAAGCACTGAAGAGCGTGGTCCCACAACATGTCCAGAAATGCCCTGCCAGCAGAGACAGGAACACAGTAACACCCTGCACAAGGTGCTGGGGTGACCTTGTCTCAAAACCTGCACAATTATCCTCACCCCAAGTTCCAAGAGGATGAACTCGTACTTGAACAAGTTTAGAGAAAGCCCAGTAGGTTGATCAGAGGAAGAGAGTGCCCTTCTTATGAGACAGCAAAACGAAACGGTGAGTAACCCAACGGATCAGAGAGCTACCTGTGTTCCAAAGCAAGGTTAACATCATCATAAATGGGTATAAACTGACAAGAAATGAAGTCTGGAGAGTTCAAGATTTCTAACCAAGAAACAGGATGCTGAAACTGCCTCCCAACAGGAATTATCAGGAAAAAAAATTAATAAATTAAGACAGAGTTTGGTAAATTGAAGGGATCTTATGATGATGTGCCTGCAAGCACGAGGCACTAGATTCAAGGAATCAAGGGCATCTTTTTCAGCAACACGTGCCTGACCTGACATGACAAGAACACTACTGTTCTGGCTGCCTGGGAGCTCAAACTCACAGGTTTTCACATGCAGGAGGTCATAGGTGGCTTGAATTACAATTGCCAGAAGGCTCTCTTTCTTCTCAAGCTATAAAGATAGCTTAAGATCGGACTCTCTTTGTCCTGGAAACAGATCTGCAGACCATTAGGACATACATCTTAAGAACTATATTGTCTTTTTTCCATCTATCCTCAGGAATGCTCAAGGCTTTTCTCCCTCTTGAGGAAAGAAAAAGGTGTTTATGATGAGACTGGACCTTGCAAGTAGTGAGGAATTACTCACACCTGATTTCTGGATGGCTAAGTTTGGAGCTCTGGGGGGGAGTGACTGGATCCTGTAGGCAATTGCGTTTTGATTCAGAGAAAAATCTGCTTTAACAACCACTACCTTTCATAATTCAAGCTTTACATCTCATAGCCCTGTAATGAGGCACGTAAGGCTTATTCACCCCTGGAACTGGGGCAAGCACAGGCACAAAAGGGTGAAGGAGAAGAGCCAACAGTAAAATGCAAGATTCTTTAAACCAAGCACTGAGCAGCCCAGAGCACAGTGGAGGTTCTCATGGAGCTCAGGATTACACCATCACCTTGAATATGAAATTGTAGCCCTTGGAAACAACAGGCCAAATAGATCAATGTAATCTTACTGTTTGAATCGCATCAAAGAAATGATAATGGGGTTTTCAGCTTCTAAAGGCTGCACGTCCCCAAGCGTGAGCTGGTTTAGTTCATTCAGTCTTGAAGCTCGGGGGCTCCCGACACACTGCTCACGTGCCCAGTCTGTTGGCAAAGTCTACGCAATGAGACTGGAAGCTTTTTCACCCCCAATATTATGAATAGCTCAAAGATTTAGCTAAAAGTCTGAAAAATGTATTTATATCCCCAGTGGGTCCTTCTGGAGCTGTTACAATGAACGCAGTGAATGAATATTTAACAACAGTAAGCAAACTGACATTTAGATAACTATGGTGACAGGCACCCTTGATTTACATATTATGGATCAACAGTTTCTAGCAAAAGTCTCATTTTTTAAAAAAAAAAAGGAAGAAATCACTCTGAAGAACACATCACTGCTTATCCTGGTTTATGCTACAGACCTTGATTTATTTAACACACAGTTTGAAACTTTAAAAGGTCTTAATTCACACTATAGGCTAACAGCCAGAGAAATTTCAAACCAGAATATGAACCCATTTTTAATCCCAGTCAGCATAAAAAAAGTGCCTAAAACCCATAGATGGATTTCTACATGTTGCTGTAATTTGAAAATAGCTCAACTACACATTCTTTTAAAAGCAGGAAAAAGAAGAAAGCAATCTTTTCATTCCAAAGCCAAAAAGCCTCTTGCTAACCTTCAGCCATAGGCAAATTTTACAGCTGAGTTGCAAGACAGTAGAAAATGGGAAAATTCTGACATACCTTTAAAATACCAGCATACTAAAAGCACCAAACTAGACCAAGCGGAGGTCCTCAAAAAAAGAAATTATCACTGACAGTAGGGCTCAGCAAGGTGACAGCAAATAGAAATAGAGAATCCTTCCAGTGTAATTACTACACATTAAGATCAGTTCCTCTCCTTAAACCTAGTAACCTTAAAAGCAGAAAGAAGCCTCAAGCTTCACAAGATCACTGCCTTTGCTTGAAAGCAGGATGAAGTTTTTTGTTTTCCTTTTGCTTGTTGGTAAATTATAACAAAAAAAAAAAAAAAAGAGGAAAATATGCTCAGGTCAAAGAAAATCTCTTGCAGTTTTTTCCTTTTGTTTTTTGGTAAATTAAAAAAAAAAAAAAAAAAAGAGAGTTCAAGCAAGCTTTAGATGTAGGTAAGCATAAATTCTGTCAGTTGTATAATATGGTGTGTGGGTGGTTACATTTGCAACGAACACATTTAACAGAAGCCCATAAAATGCCCGTCCCTCTACATTTTATGTTATAGGCTCAGGAAGACTCGAGACGTAGTGGGCTTTTTAACTGAAGCTTTTGATATCCATGGTAACCAGATAGGATCATCCATCCACAAGGAGGATGATCCTTAACTAGGATATCAAATGACCTGAATAGCTGCTATAACTGAGGCTGCTTTCCCCCAGAAATATTTCCAAACTGTGCTCTCTATTCAAACTGACTCTGTTCCTTCATTAAATACTTTCTTCAGATGTAGAGGATGCCATTAAAGTATATGACAACAGCCATTTAATTTCTTCTCTTAAACTAGGATCTATCTATACCTTAAACAAAAAGGGTCTTATTTTAGATGATTTCAAAGCTATTTATCTGGACGTGTAACATCTCACATAGAAGAAAGGTGCCAGGGCAAGCAGTGATTTACAAAGCCTGACAGAGAAAAGGCAACAAGAGGGAGGAATACCTCCCCACCCAGGCTGGATTCAAATCCCAATTAATTCAAGTACATTAATGACAAGCAGGAATCCACTGAGAGTCTCTGTAAACCTGTTCCAATAACAAATAATCCCAGGCAAAGAACCTGACGCTAGAAATATTCATAAGGAAAAGCCTACACAGAATAACTAATGGGCCGGGTGTATCTCCATGTAGATACTGGGATGGTTTTCCGAAGGAATATCAGCATAATTTCATTGAGCAATACACAAGGCAAAACAGAAATAAATTTGAATCAAAGAATCTTGCTCTTGTTTATTAAGGCAAATCACCCCAGGAAGAGACCACCAGGTTACATCTGCTCCAGACAGACCTCATTAGTTGCCATCTTGACAAAATGCTTTGCTAGTTATTTTACAGTTTTTAATTGTTTTTCCCCAGGAGATCATTACATTTCTTACCATCTGAAGAAGGTGGGGTGGTTCCGAGTGGAGTGACAGGCGTCGTTGGAATTGGGCTTGTTGGTGTTGTCATCAGCCCCATTTCAGGATGGCTCTAGCAGAAAACACAAACACCCAGACATACAGGGGTCAGTAGCTTCCCGAGGCACTAGTCACACAGACCACTACAGATGGCTGCTTGCACTGCTCCATGCTCTCTCACGATAGACATGACTAATGAAGTCTCAAGAAACTTCAACCTCTCTTCTAAAAAGCAAGGTTACGCTTCCTGACCTTTGACATCTAACAATTAAATCATGCTTCACCAATCTGATAGCCTTCCATGATGTCATAACTGGCTGGGTGGATGAGGGGAGAGCAGCAGATGTCATCTACCTTGACTTCAGCAAGGCTTTTGACACTGTCTCCCATAACATCCTCATTAGGAAACTGAGGAGGTGTGGGCTAGACGAGGGGGCAGTGAGGTGGATTGAGAGTGGGCTGTGTGACAGAACTCAGAGGGTTGTAATTAATGGAGCAGGGTCGAGTTGGAGGCCTCTAACCAGTGGTGTCCCTCAGGGGTCAATACTCGGTCCAGTCTTGTTCAGCCTACTCATCAATGACCTGGACAAGTGAACAGAGTGTATCCTCAGCAACTTCGCTGATGGTACCAAACTGGGAGGACTGGCCGACACATCAGAGGGCTGTGCTGCCATCCAGCATGACCTGGACAGGCTGGAGAGCTGGGCAGAGAAGAACCTCATGGGGTTCAACAAGGGCAAATGTAGGGTCCTGCACCTGGGGAGGAAGAACCCCAGGCACCAATAGAGGTTAGGGGTGGACCTGCTGGAAAGCACTTCTGAGGAGAAGGATCTGGGGGTCCTGGTAGATAGTAAATTATCCATGAGCCAGCAATGGGCCCTTGTGGCCAAGAGGCCAATGGGATCCTGGGCTGTGTAGGGAAGAGTGTGGCCAGGAGGTGGAGGGAGGTCATTCTCCCCCTCTGCTCTGCACTGGGGAGGCCACAACTGGAATCCTGCCTCCAGTGCTGGGCTCCCCAGTTCAAGAGAGACAGGGAACTGCTGGAGAGAGTCCAGCGTAGGGCAACAGAGATGATGGAGGGATTGGAGCATCTCCCTGATGAGGAAAGGCTGAGAGAGCTGGGGCTCTTCAGCCTGGAGAAGAGAAGGCTGAGGGGAGACCTTCTTCATGCTGACAAGTCTCTAAAGGGGGGGTTGAAGGAGGATGGAGCCGGACTCTTCCCAGTGGTTCCCAGGGACAGGACGAGGGGCAACGGGCACAAGCTGGACCATGGGAAGTTCCACTCCAATGGGAGGAAGAACTTGTTTGGGGTGAGGGTGGCAGAGCCCTGGCAGAGGCTGCCCAGGGAGGGTGTGGAGTCCCCTTCTCTGGAGATCTTCAAGCCCCTCCTGGATGCTCCTGAGTGATGTGCTCTGGGCAGCCCTGCTTTGGCCAGGGGGTTGGACTGGAGGGTCTCTAGAGGTCCCTTCCAACTTGAACAATTCCGTGCCAAAATGTACATCAATTCCTTTACTCCACAAAACATAAAAATACACCAGGAAGTGGTGGCTTTCCCCAGCAGACAGGTAACATACCCTTCCCCAGAGTAGAATGGATGGGCAAAGGTACGCAGAAGCCTACACTGTTTATAGCTTCCTATTCCCCCCAAAACAGCTGAAGTCTTCCTCCAAGACCCTTTTATTTCTCTTTCTAAAAGCAAATTCTCTTCACTCCTACCCTCCACCTGCTCATATTCAAAGATGATGGCAATTTATTACTTTCCTGTCTCACTATAAAGCCCAGGCACTGCAGGAAAAGAGCGCATAATATAAATAACACTATCATTATCGATCCTCTCAGCTTCCATCAGTTGGTTACTTTCCCCGTTTCATCTTTGCTAATAGTTGCCTGCCTAATTACTGCTTTGACTTTACTCTTTGTAAGCTTCCGGATCTAACCACGCTGGTGAGGCTGTAGGCAATCTGCCATGCTATTTTAAGTCCGGCTGCCAAGCAAAGTGTCCATTTCATAGGGCAAGTTTTACATAAATGTATCACCCGCCTTAATATATCATCACAATTTCAAAATACAAGAAAGGGATACAGAGCTGCTGATTTGACGTAGGATTTCTCACAAGCGGCTGTGCTCCACATCATCTTTGAATATCTCTACTTTATGAGTGACTATAAATGCATGTATCACATGGGAAGCACAGCCACATGTACTACAATTCAAAGAGAATTTGAAGTAATTACAGGTACCGATCTAAACTTTAAGATACAGTTTTTCACAGAAAATCTTACATAAAACAGGTTTGCTTCCATAGATCTTGCTATAGTGTTTACGTTTCTTTTCCCCAAACACCAGCCACCAGTTGAGAGATAATAGTGCCACCTAGCAGCAAGAGCTGAGGGCCAACAACCTGGTAACTACTCCAAGACCTTAACACTTCAGGCATCAACACAACTGTGTCCCCTGCTCTTCCTGTGTGCCCACACAGCAGCAGGCACTCATTCACGCAGTCCTTAGCAATGGACACCAGCCTAAACGAGAGGATTCACCAGCTTTTATGAGGTTTTTCCAAAGGACACTATGACCTACCTTGCCCTCTCTTAAATGAAGGATAAGACAATCCACCCAAGAACCAAGAACATCAGGCCACCAATTAAATCCACTGATCAGCCCCTGCTTCAGCTATCACTTTCACAAACAACTAGTTTATCCTTTTATTTTTAATTTAAGAGCTTCTACTCTAGCTACACTTTTCCTGCCCTACTCTTTTCCCTGTGAAAGGCCTCTCTTCCTTCAGGGACACCTTGACCACAGAAAGGCCCGAGTTGGTATTACACAGAACAGAAAGAGCAGAAATCTCTCACAAGTAGTAGGAATCAATAACTTGGGAAAAGAGAGGCAGGAAACATCAGCACATTAGCCACCCGTGGAACAGAAGCTTTATCAGAGGCAGTAGATCTGCCTATCAGACCTCTTCCATCACCACTACTGTCAAGAGTCCCCAGAGGTCTCCTCGGTCACACCAAGTATCTAGCCTGTGATGTATGTCTGCACTCTGAGGACCCGAAGTAAATGGGAAAAGGTGTTAACTGTTTTGTTGATGTCATTTGTCTCACAGATTACCAGCAGTACTTACAAACCAAAATTAAAAGCCTAAACCTGAAGGTTTTCCTAAACACATCAGGCTATCCTTCCAGCCAGCCACAGCACAATCACCGCATCAGACAGACTCGTTATCTGTCTCCCAGCAATAATCACCTTTGCAAACTCACGCAGTGCCTAGAAAAGTATCCAGAGGTTTGTGACCAGAGGTATGGAGCAGCCAACTGCTTCTCAGAAGGCTGTCATAGCCGTTTCTTCACCATAAACAGCACAAGGAGGAGTGCTATGCTCCGGCAACAGTCTCCCAACCAAAAGGAGTTGGGCGCTCCGAGGCATTTGAACATAAAATATTTGAAACAACAGTCACAGAATCACAGAATTGTCAGGTTGGAAGGGACCTTTCAGATCATCCAGTCCAACCATCAACCTCAGTCTGATACAAACCATCACTAACCCATGGCTCTAAGTACTATGGCAACCCGGCTTTGAAATCCCTCCAGGGATGGGGCCTCAACCCCTTCCCTGGGCAGCCCATTCCAAGGCTGAAGAACCCTTCCCGTGGAAAAATTGTTCCCAATCTCCAATCTGAACCTCCCCTGGTGCAACTTGAGGCCGTTTCCTCTTGTCCCATGGCCTGTGACTTGGGAGCAGAGACCGACCCCCCCTGGCTACACCCTCCTTTCGGGGAGTTGGAGAGAGCCAGAAGGTCTCCCCTCAGCCTCCTTTTCTCCAGGCTGAACCCCCCCAGCTCCCTCAGCCTCTCCTCATCAGACTTCTTCTCCACTTATTCTCCAGTTGTCACATGTCCATTAGTCCCCAAGTGAAGGATACCCAAACAGGTAACAACATGCAGTCTGTGCACACCCAGATAGGACAATTCATCCAACTATGGAGCCAGATCATCCTCTTTCCCTCAACCCTACCTTAACATGAGCATGAATTGTTCTGAGAGCTGCAGCAATCTTCTCCCTACCAGTCTGCTCACCCCATCCTCCCCATAAAGGCTGTATCGATACGGCACCGAAAGCACATCATGCAGTTCTTCCCATTCAGAAAAATGGCTCGTTCCAACACGAGCTGTGTCCTCAAAGCTTTACTCATTTTCTGGCAAGGCAGGAAGCATTTCCTAAAGTATAATAAACCTAGGCCCTGGCCTGCTTCTGATCTTTCATGCTCATCTACACCTATGACAAGTATGCAGTGGAAATAAAGAAATCTTTTCACCAATTCCATTTCCGCCTCTCTAATTTCAAAGACATCTATTACAAAGAAAAGGGCAAACAACACACTAAAACTCACTTGTGCCAGAACGGTGATGAAATTCCGGTTCAAGTGAACAGCTTCATAGAGGGCCAGAAGGATTGCTTCATTCGTTCTGTGGAAAGGACACAGATAAAAGCACAGTTAGTTAAGGGCTAACACCAGATGTGAGTCCTAAGAGCAAGTTTTTTCAGAAGCATGGCCCATATAAATGAAGAAAATATTTTTTCATCTATGTAAGACTCTGCCTCTGCAATCCAGTTATTCTTCTGATTATTGGTAGTACTTAGCAATCCATAAAAATGGCTATTTTTAGATCTCAATTACCATCTCAACTACTTCATTCCCCTCCTACTGAAGGTTTCCCTCATTGTTCAAAGAGTGTTTCCCCTTTAAAGTCCTTTCTTTTAAGGGCAGAGGTTCCTACAAACACCATAAACCCTCATATTTATCACCTTCCCCCTTGATTTAGAAAACATTTTGTTAGGAACAAGAGTGCCTGAACCATCACTTCCCATCTGCCACATCCAACATACGTTAAAAAAGCCTTATAAAAAACACAGGGTTTGTTGTTTTGGTTTGTGTTTGGTTTTTGGATTTCGTTTTATACACTTCATTACAAGCAATTCAGCTGTAGGTCCTCCTGCTGCACCCTTCTCACTTAAGCGAGAATCCATAGTTTGCAGGGGTGAGGCACCACTTCAATTCCAGGAGAATTGACCTCTCCAGTTTGCTTTGCTGTGTTAGTCCAGCTCCACGATGGAGCAGACCATGTTGAGTGTGGTGAGTTGCCATTCGTTGTGTAACTAACATCTGGGCACTTACTGGACTGAGATCTTCTCATCAGCATCTGCTATGAACATGCTGCCCACCTATGGAAAGAAAGAGTATTGCATGGGAGGAATTTATGAAAGTCGTTAGACAAGAGAGAAGACATGGATTTAACGAAATCAGAAGCGCCCTGGGAGAGGTGTTCTCATCCAAGGCACACCTGCAACTCGCTTTCTACGACTAGTTATAACGAATGGGAAACACGATGACCATCTACAAACACATTTTATTTTGCACTACTGTCACTGACCGACGTTTCACCTGTCAAATCACAAAAGACAAAAAAAAGGACTGTATCTTGAATCCCTGAATAACCTTGAATGAGTTAGTCTGTGACTCCGTCAGAGGGAGGTAGTGTCCTACCTGCTTGCCCCAAAGCAGTAGCAGTTTTACCCGTGTCACTCCAGACAGACACCTGGCAGCACTATCAACCAGCCTTACTTAGAGGAAATCTTCCTGTCAGTTAGATCTCAGACTACAGTTAAATCTCAGACTAAAGCAGAGCCAAACTGAATAAGGGGAACAGGGGATACTCTTCACCAGGAGGAAATTCACAATTGCTTTTAGAAGGTTCCCCTCCGAACATGCAGACACTGCCCATAGCTACAGTGCACCCAGGATTGAGAAACGAGACAGGAAAGAAACAGATCTCTAAAGCTAGTGACAGACTAGACTTCACCCCAAAAACATTCAGCTTCTGGTTTAGGCTACATCAGCAGAGCAGCAACTTGCTTTTAAAAATAATTTTTCAATAATAATTTCAATAATTGTTCAATTATTGTGAAGCTCAATGAGGCCCTGGGCAACCTGGTCTAGTTAGGGGTGTCCCTGCTGACCGTGGGGAGGTCGGACCAGATGGCCTTTGGAGGTCCCTTCCTGCCTGGAAAATTCTATAATTCTATAAGTAGCTGTTTAAAAGTGTCTAGTAAGAAACTGTATTTCTAAAATGAAGTCAACTCGAATGAAGAAGATGAAGGAAAACAAGTTCAATTATCAACACCAGAATAAAGATCTCATCCTTTGAAAGGGCTTTCCCATCCATTCAACACCACGCTCCTCAGAATACAACCATTTTAGTTGCATTTGGTTTGGATTGGATTCATGCATCTCCTCCTCCAGAACCCACACCCCAAACTCACAGTTTTTGGAAACACCCTCCCGCTGAACTTCCATAATGATACTTATATCATGGATATACCACGGATATATCATTAATAGAAAAACTGCCTCCTTGCTTACCATATTAGTTAGGGCTGAAAGGAAACCACTCTGGTGCTCCTCTTCCTTATCTTTGTATTGCCTGATCAAAAAAGGAAGAAGGATGAAGCTTCAGGTTTAAAAACAGAACTAGGGTTATTTTATCTAAATCCCTATGAGACAGTCTTATCTGAATAAGGACACAGGATGGAGAAGGTTTCAACATTCACAAGCAGTTTCCAAGAACTCCCAAAGAGATGTAAAGGGTATTCAAATATTTGTAAGTTGTGTACAGTTGAAGTGGGGATGCTGAAAGGTGTGAGATTGAACAACTCCTGGGTTGCTACAGAGGATACATCCAGTCTGGGCTAATGCTGAAGGAAAGGGACCAAGTGATTTAAGAAATTTTGTCCTGCAGTGGCAAAACCGTAACAAACCACACGGACACACACAATCAGTAACAAAGAATAGTTTCATTTCAATCATCATCTGCAACAGACTAAACCAGAGTTGATCATGGCCAGCAGAAACCATGAGGACCATAATGGTTCATGTCCTGATCCTGCTTGATCCCACAATCCTGGAATAAGTGAAGGGACTGGAACTGGAGTAAGTGAAGTCAACAAATAGGTTGGGTACCTCAGATTTAAGGTAAGTCACTCCATTTGGCATTCAAATGGACTAGCGAAGCTCATGGGCATTTATTGTGTCTTTCATGTAGGAATCTGATCACACACAATGCAACGTGGAAAGAACACAATTCTAAATTTCTTGGGAAGGGTGGAAGGAGGAGCTAAGCGAAATAGACCATAGTCTGAGACAGCTTTTGTCAGAATGAAGTTGGGTGGGTGAGTTTTTTTCTGCTTTACTGTAATAACTTACTCTGTTAAATACATTTACATGATTTGCTGATTTTGCAAGCCATCTGTCTACCTAAAATAGCAGACTTTCAGACAAATTAAAACATTTTTCTGTACACTTTGAGGATCCTGCTCCACAAAAAAAAAAAAAAAAATGTAGTATTCCTTACTTTCTGTGAGGGACTATTACCCATTGTATGGCCCCATCAAAAAAAAAAAAAAAAAACAAAAAAAAAACCAAAAAAAACCCCCACGTGTCTTGGGTCACTCAGGTGAAATTGCTTTAAGTTTTCAAATTTTTCTGAAGCACTTTCTTCTTAGGAAAACACATACATGTTGTGCTCTTGCTCCTGAAGCAGAAGCTGGGAACGTGCTACCCCTGCTACTGACTTTCTGGCTTTTTTTCAGAAGCAGTTAATGCTTTCCACCATTTGCAAGAACACACATCCCCTAATCATCTCTGATCTGGAACGCTGATAGTCCTGGATACATGTGTTTGCTTTAGATTGTACTTCAGTTAAATCAATTTTCTAACAGAGAAATACTCAGCAAATCATTTATCTTTTCACTTGGGACTAAAATTTTACACAAGGTTCGCACAGAGGTAAAATCCATGACAGTAAAACCATACAATAGATATCTTCCCCTACAGCAAGATCTCTCCTGAAGCGCATCAACACAGCTGGTACTGATGCATTTATACTTGCAATGGTAGCAACAACTGAGCCGAAGTACCTCCAAGCATAAGACTATTCCCTGCCTCTACAGGTGCATCGAGATTGTTAAGTGATAAAGAAGTGCTTTAACACAACAACAACAACAAAAAAAAAAGGTTTGTGGAAATGCATAGCAACTATCACACATTGAAAAACAAGAGACAATTAGGTTTTACCTGTTATATTCCGATAAAGCCTGGGCAATTACAAGTCCCATTCCCTGAAAAAAAGGGTTAATAAAATCTTTACAAATCTCAAAGCAGGAAATCACACACTGAACACACATAGCAGTGCTGCCTCCTCCTTTCCCCCAAGATAACCTAGCACCCTAGAATGAATTTTCCCTGAACCTGTTTTAACTATTAAGACATGCTATGATACAACCAAAATATCATCCAAAAATCAAGATACCAGAATTTAAAGTTGAATATCTAATTACTCAGTTTAACAGAGAACATTTACTCTCCTTGGATCCCTCAGATAGAGCTTACCCACTCAAGAAGCCTCAATAAAGCAGCAAGAGCTTCAGAAGGAAGCTGGTGTCAGAGGAAAAAATATCCAAAAGTTCAAAATAAAGGCCATAAACACTAGTAACCTTTTCACTTCTTGCAAACAGCCTCCACCATTCCACAGTTACTGATCACCCTTTTTGTCAAGCTAATTAAATTAATTCGGAATAATCATTCTCAACCTTTACTTAGCATAGAGCTTGTGTTTTACTTCATGCCTAAAGAACAGCTTCTAAATCCAGTCCACACATAGCTCACGGGGTGCTGCCACTTTCTATCCAGGCCTGGGTACAAAACTCAGGCAGTATCTAGAACCCAAAATATGTTTCAGGACTCTTGACTCGAGTACAAGCTTCCATCGAGCTACAGGAATTGACTTGTGGACTGGTAAAATGGGATGGCACAGCACTGGAAATGAGATCTTCTTCGGCATAAAGTATCCTGTGCCTCCTTGGCACGTGACAGGGATAAATAGTTCATAAATGTATAATAGATCAACTTTAGCATGTTCCTCACTACGTTGCTTTTTATGTACCCTCACCCTTTAACTGGTGATCAAACCATCCAAATCATAAGCTGCCTAACCTACTGCAAGAGTTAGGGCAGAAAACCACTATCCTGGTGTTCTTCACAGCAGCAGTATTCCCAGACCTCCTTTCTACCAGACACCATGACCGTGTTCGTTACGCTAACACCACACATGAAAGAGCATCGCCACCAGCACAGAAGAATCAACTCAAATACTCACGTTGAGTGTGGCCTCATCATCTACGATGGAGAGCTTCACAATGTAGGGATTCACTGACTGCTCAGGATGGAGGCAGAAAAGAAGAAAGAAAATTGGTTTTAAGTTCAGCCTCCAGGAAAAAAAAAACAATACTATTATCTTTCCAAGTTTACCCAGCCACCTGGGAAGAATCTTTTTCCCGTCCCACAAAGAATACACACAAAGAAAGAGAAGTCATAGCACACACTAAGGCCATTACGCTCGGGACACCTTCTCTGTGCTGGCTCAGCCAGGCAGGCTCCTGATTTTATTGCGAGGGCGTTTCTGCTCCCCCGCGAGCTCCTCTGTCAGCCCGGGGAGCAGAGCAGCTGTCCTGCGCGGCTGTTATCGGTGACACACACACTGCTAGGCAGCAGGAACAAGCAGTGAAGCTGGGGCTGAACATCAGCGTTCCAGTATCTCCCTTCTGCAACACCTTGCAAAGATTGCTTAAAGGAAGGAGCGCCCAGGAAGGCATAACAACATCATAGACTCTACCGCGGCTGGGTTAGAGCTCAACCCTTTCACCAGTTACACCACTGGTGTAACTATTCTCCAGAGCTAGAAGGCTCTGGAGAATATAAATTCCTTGAACTTAACTGAACAAAGCACACAGGATCCACCTATAAAGATAAATCCTAATAATTTAGGCAGCATTTAAATTAGCAAGGTCCATTTGTTTCTCCTGGTTTATATGTGTCAGTGAAAAACTAACCAAGTTGATCTGAAACTAGGACAGAGAAGAAAAAGCACCAAGTGCAAAGAGGATGGGAAGAATAAAACACGACGCGTGGATCAGAGGGAGCCCTAGAAGTGACACAGTTATCTGATCGATTTGCCCATGGCTTGGCAGCAAGTTAAAAATAAGGCTGATCAGAAAACACCACTCGCAACTATTTGGTGCTTTGGGAGGATCAGGCTTTCTTTTTGGTTCAAAAAAAGAAACTGATGAGAACAGCCCAAAGCTCAGCCGGTCTGTCAGCCTGTCCAGCAGCACACAGCCCTGCCTGCCAGCTCAGAAAAAGGCAGAAAACTCACACAGAATCCATCTGTGCACGAAGCATGCAAAGACATTTCCTTGAGGCTGGAGTAGAGACTCACATATATTGAGTGACAATATATGGTCCTCTCCGAACAACCATGCTCCCCTTCAGAAATTAAATTTAGCCAGTGTCAGTAAAGCAAAAACAAGCTTCACAAAGTTGTAATTAAAAATAGATTAAAATCCATCCTTGTAAATATATCTGAGTTTTGCTAATTTCAGTCACTCTCTTGCTCTCCTTCTACAACAAGGAGAAACCCTCCACCCCAAGTTTCACACACAGAAGACAGACCAGCCTGTGACAGCCATGGGGCTTTTCCAGGCGATGGGCAGCAGGGCCACGCTGGATTAGAGCCTGCAGGGTTAGCCAAATTCCCAGATGTGGGGAAGACGCAAACTGGGAGATATCACACTGACCAATGCCACCAGGCTGCCCTGACACCCCATCACACGCTCTGTCCCATCACAGAAAGGGAAGGGGAACGGGCTCGTTGTCATCTGCAGCCCGAGAACAACTTTTCACACTCCTGCTGCCCTTGACTTTCCGAGACGCATGCTCCACATCTCCTGCCTCTTGCCAGCAAGATGAGAGGGTTCTTCACTGTGAGGGTGGTGGAGCACTGGAACAGGTTGCCCAGGGAGGTGGTTGAGGGCCCTTCCCCGGAGATATTCAAGGAGAGGCTCGACGAGGCCCTGGGCAACCTGGTCTAGTTGGGGGTGTCCCTGCTGACTGTGAGGAGGTCGGACTAGATGACCTTTGGAGGTCCCTTCCTGCCTGGGCAATTCTATGATTCTATGTCATCAGTGCACGGCTGACAGGGTCATGGAGCTGGCTACAGACCTCTGCCCTCTATGTTTGCAATTGTCATTTCCATATCTGCAGAAGTCTGTTTAATAAATTCCTCTCTGAAGTGCTGCATTCCCCTGACATGCTCCACACCTCCTCTGGGCTCTCCTAACTCCTTAGGAGCAGGCAGAGCACCAACCAGCGTAACCCACACCCCGTGTCACTCTGTGTGGGACAGGGCAGGTTCTAGTGTCCTTATTCTGATCCTGTTGTTTCAGGGTTCGGTTCCCCCCTCACCAAAAGGTCTAAAAGCCTAAATTACACCCACCACTCCACAACATGCAGGAACACGCCACGGCCTTGAAAAGTGGTTGACAAGCATTTTGAAAACTTCAAAGTGTGTCAATGAAGCGGTTACACAAACCTAAAAATAGCTCCTGCCTCCACCTGCCTCCAGGAAGAACTCAAAAATATCGTTCTCAGCTCTTCAGACAACACAGGTCTTTTCCTATCACTGACATCAGATAACAATCACCAGAGCAGGAATGGGATAGAATGTACCTTCAGCAAGTTTGCTGATGACACAAAACTGGGAGGGGGGGCTGACACACCAGAAGGCTGTGCTGCCATCCAGTGAGACCTGGACAGGCTGGAGAGTTGATCAGAGGAACCTGATGAAATTCAACCAGGGCAAGTGCAGGGTCCTGCACCTGGGGAGGAAGAACCCCCTGCACCAGCACAGGTTGGGGGTGACCTGCTGGAGAGCAGCTCTGAGGAAAAAGACCTGGGAGTCCTGGTGGACAACAGGATGCCCATGAGCCAGCAATGGGCCCTGGTGGCCAAGAAGGCCAAGGGCATCCTGGGGGGCATCAGGAAGAGGGTGAGCAGCAGGTGGAGGGAGGTCATCCTGCCCCTCTGCTCTGCCCTGGGGAGGCCCCAGCTGGAGCACTGGGTCCAGTTCTGGGCTCCCCAGTTCCAGAAGGACAGGGAACTGCTGGAGAGGGGACAGCAGAGGGCTACAAAGATGATGAGGGGCCTGGAGTATCTCTCTGATGGGGAAAGGCTGAGGGACTTGGGGCTTTTTAGTCTGGAGAAGAGAAGACTGAGGCGGGATCTAATCAACACCTATAAATACTTCAAGGATGGGTATCAGGAGGACACCCATCAGTGTCACTTTTTTCAGTGGTGCCCAGTGACAGGACAAGTGCCCCTGTTACGGGCACAAACTTGAACATGGGAAGTTCCACCTAAACATGAGGAGGAACTTCTTTCCTGTGACGGTAGCAGATCCCTGGCAGGGGCTGCCCAGAGAGGTGGTGGAGTCTCCTCTGGAGACATTCAAACTCGCCTGGACTCGCCTGGACTCGTTCCTGTGGGACCTGCTCTGGGTGGACCTGCTTTGGTAGAGGGTTGGACTAGACAATTCCCAGAGGTCCCTTCCACCCCATATTATTCTGTGATTAAGGTCTTTTTGTTAGGATTCAGGTACAGACATAAACTCCTGTGTCCTAACTACCAGGAACATGGGAACATTTAAGATGTCCTCCATGAACTACCCACCATTAGATGCCAACAATCTCATAGTAATGAAGGTGGAAGCTATAGGAAGATCAGTACCAGGTAATTTTTAAAGCAATCCCCAGGTGAGACACGCCACACAAAGTGAGTATGATGTGAAGAAGCACACAGGTCTGGCAGAGGGAGTGACATCTGCTCCATGCCCCAAAACGTACCTCTGCCTCCAACACAAACCTATGGGGAACAATTTTTTTGGTAGGAAAAGAAAGCAGAAAAAAAAAAAGCTAACCACGTGTAATCCCTAGTTAGATGCTTAACTTATCTTCACATCTGTAACACAAAGGAAGGTCAGAGTCCACTCAATTATCCCCCATTGCCCTGAACACTCATGAGGGATGATTCAGCAGCTTTGCTGCCAGCCCTGCTGAGGCCATCTCCTCTGCAGGCAGGACATCTTGCAAGGACTTGGAGCTTGAATAATTACTCTTTTTTTTATTTTAAATAGTTTAATTTAAAATAATTTGATTCGTGTGTGTAAAGATTAAAAAAAGAAGACTTTTCTGACTCTTCAGTGTTGGTCTCTTCAGCAGCTGTAGTTGACTGAAGGAGAGGAACCTGCCCACACCGGCACATGAAGGGCTGTTGGACACACTACACACTGCCACACAAGCACACAAAGGGAAAAACCCATGTTTGACTGACTTCCTTCAGCTCTACCTAGCAGAGGATCCAATATGCAATTCTAGCAGGTTCAACATGAGGTAAACACATTTCTACCCAGATATTGCCAAGGAATCTACCTATTTAAAGTTACTACCTGATTTTATGTTTTAACTTGCTATTCTAGCAGCCAACCCTCAAAACACTGAGAAAGTGATCAATAAATACTCTTCCTGACAGCATTTTTTCTGTTTGGCAGCCTTTTGTGTGCACTTAAATTCACCATTTTCCTGATATAGTCAATTATTAAGTTACTCTTTTATGTTTCTCTCACACAGTATCAAGGTAAAAATATTTTCACTGAAATCAGTACTAGGATTAAGAGAAACGAAAAAATACAGCTTAAGACTTTATATCCTTGGAACAACTTTTGAAAATTAATAGTTTTCAGATCAGGGACATGCCTTTAAAGGTTCCATGTAAAGACATGTAAATCATTGTTCCTCCTAGAACAGAATTAATGAGCAAGCCAAGATCTCAGCTATACTTTTAATGATAACATGGACAGATATTCCCCAGGGAATTTGAGAGGAGCCTACAAAATTCACATCCCAAAAATATGAAAGAACACCCTGACGCAAAACATACTGATATTCACATTAAAGACAGACACTAAATCATAGTCAACTAATGAATTTTCAGCCTAATTAGATTTTCTTAAGCAGCTGGAAACACCATTTAGCAACGAATGAAGTTCAAAACAAAAGAGAAACTATCAACTTGCTGCAGTTAACTAAAAAGAGACCTCCAAAGGATCTGAGGCATGAAAGTATGTTACAATGCACTGACAACCAGGCAGCTGCCAAACTGACTCTAAGGGCCAAAGCACCACAAATGAAACCAGCTACTGCAGGACAAAGATTCTGAGTGCATCACTACAGGCTTTGCTTGTAGGGCTGCTCACAAAGGGCAGTGTCAGGCAGCTGTCACATAAAGCCTTTCTTCAAGTTGCTTTCAACCTTGCCAGATGAACTACTCAAGCTGAAATTCCCCTTGCTACAGGTTTGCCTCAGGTCAGATTGTACTTTTTAAACACCAGCACAATTTCTTTTGGGTGCCCAGTCTGAAGACATCTAGAACAATGTTTTCCACAGCACTCAATACTCTACAGAAAGCTACTGCAAAAAGCAGACAACAAGTTTTATGTACTCACAGCACTCTACCTTACTAAGGACATAAACTACCATCCACGGGGATCCACAGCCCAGGGATGGGACTACACAGCTCTCCAGCCTTTCAGCTGAACATTGCAACACCACCTCTGGTCTTTCCAGTCTGTCCTCACCAGAAACCCTACCCGTACCATAGAATCATAGGATTGTCTGGGTTGGAAGGGACCTTTGGGATCAACTAGTCCAACCATCACCCTAACTCTGATAAAACCCATCACTAACCCATGGCTCTAAGCACTATGGCAACCCGGCTTTGAAATCCCTCCAGGGATGGGGCCTCAACCCCTGCCCTGGGCAGCCCATTCCAAGGCTTAAGAACCCTTTCCATGGAAAAATTGTTCCTCATCTCCAATCTGAACCTCCCCTGGTGCAACTTGAGGCCACTTCCTCTTATCATCACTCCCAATACATTCCCTTCATGGCCACATACTGAACCAAACTCCATGATCCTGTTCCATGCTACCACTGGTTGCTGAACAGAATCTGTAATTCAGGATTCTGACAACATTCACAGGAATGAGAAATCAACAGGGGTTACACCTTGACACTGACTGTATCTCATGTCTTTGCTTATTCTCTAGGTCTATTCATAATTCAAAACAAGATCTATTAGAAAACCAGGGAGGTTTTGGAGCCTGCCCCCTCCCAGTAATTCTGCTGAGGAGGGGGAATTCCAGCCAGCACTTTCCCATTTTTTGCCAATCAAAGTATATTAAGATATTCCTAATTATGAAAAAAAAAAATGGGATTGATCATTAAAGCATCATGCCTCATGCAAGGTAAAGCCAATACTAGGTGTTGCTTTGACATTTGAAATGTTGCTTTTTCAAGGCGATGAGTAACGGGGAAAAAATGGGAATACACCACAAAGTAGCACAACCGGTTTAGAAGAAGGAAGATGAGCAGAGTTTCTCGGGGAGGAATCAGTCAGAGATAGAGGCAGACTTCTCTTGGAAATAATCGCTGTGATGTTTCAGTTCATTCTTTGGTCACAGCTTCAACATCTCTTCTGGGGATCTGTGCTCTCTCAGTCTGCTAGTCAGGCTCTGAATCACTAATTCGGTTTGAAGCCCGGTATGACTGACAGCTCATTTCACTTTGGAGATTATGTATAACCACACAGTCACATACACAAGAGGCAAACGCGCAAGTTTCAGCACAACAGTAACTCTTCCAAACAGAACTTCCTCGGAATACTTTAATGAAGGAAATGCAAATCACCCAGATAGTTTCTTTGACGCTTGCACAAAACGAGCTGTATGAATATCATACCCCTCCATCAGAGACAGATACAGCTAGCATCATTCAACTGCCATGCACCTCTGTGCTGATACCCTGACAAACCTTACAGTGGGTACTGCCAAAAATCACACTGTAGGCTGCCTTAATAATCCAGTGTCAATTAATAAAGTAGAGAGAAGTGATGTTTCTGTTATCCAGAAGAATACTTACCTCGTACTTTCTGTAGTTGACCAGCAAGGCAAGGAGGACAACAGCATCATAGCCATGTTCCCTGCGACTAAGGGGGCTGGACAGGATCTGGAATAAATAATCACACTGTTCTTCAGGAAGCTCACAGTGACTCTCAGACTCCGCGTGGCTGTGAAATGCACGTGTAAGAGCAAACTATGTCCTGACTGAAAGAGGATATTTAAGGTTGAGGGACTGTCAGTGCTTCTAAGAAGTTCTGCACACAGAGAAGCTTCTTTATCACAGAGAGGAGGCACATAACTTTTCTGGGCATAAAGGGCAACTAGATTTCTCAACAGCAATGGATAAATATCTCAGTGCATCACCAACATTATCTGTGCAAGGTTTCTGGGTTTCTCCAAGCCCAGTTCCACTTCTTAAAAAAGTATAATTTATCAAAGAGCAGAAAAAAACCTCAATACATCCAGACTGCCTTCTGAAAAAAGTTCATAGAATCATAGAATTATCTAGGTTGGAGGGGGCCTTTAAGATCATCTAGTCCAATTATCAACTTAACTCTGACAAAACCAAAAAAAACACATCTCTAAACCATGTCACTAAAAATTCCTCTGATACAGGAATTCTGTGAAATTAGCCCAGAAATCTGTTCAGCCTCTATGTATGTACAAATGTCTCAAGTGAAAATACGTTAATTACTTGGTAGTGACTAAAACCAGCAGATTAGAACAAGGAGGAGACAGCATTCAAAAAAAAAAAAAAAATCTATCTATGACTGAGCTATGAATGGAATCAACACCCAGTACCAGTCGGCTACGCTGCACTGAAAAAGCTGAAAAGCAAGTATATGACTGAAAGTTGTCACTATGGAAGAAGAACCCTTACCTGTAAAATAGCTTCAAATATGCTGTTAATCATCACATACTCCAGGATGGTGTTCTGGCTAATGTTGTCTGTCACCTAAGTAGAAACACAAGTTTTAAAATCTCACTCACAGCCTCCCATGAGGCTGTAGCTGCCTCTAGCACCCACTGGGAACAGAGGAGTTCTACTACCAGATGGACACATTTATCCAGAATCTCACACTTAGTCAGCAAGTCAAGGTGTGACTAGCACTAGAGCTAGACACGAAGCAAAAGAAATCTGTCTTGCCTCCCACCTCTGTCCCTGGCAAGAAGCATGACCCACGTACTGAGAGCTCTCCCGTTCCTCTACAGATGGTTATTTTACACAGCTGCATGACAACACCACCAGAAGCTGAAGCAGACCACCACACTGGAGACAAAGTGAAAAAGCAGGGCCCATATGTTCCACTGAGCACTTTTCCACCACAAATAGGGCAATGAAGACCTCCCCCCACACTCAGTTATCTCTTATCACAGCCAAGGTGGTTTGCAGTTGACCATCTCCAAGAGATGCCGAGCGGCCATTTGTTCCAACTTCCTCATTCTTCACGTCCTCACCAGCCTGCTCTTTCCTCAACCCCACTGGTCTGCTCTCTTTCCATTTATCTGAGACTTCTTAAATATCCTTTGCCCTAAAAAATATGAATCCAGTTGACACTTCACCATGTTTCACCCTCCTTTTGCCCCAGTTGGCACCTATCTCATGAGGTGAAAACAATCTGCTAGTCTCTATCACCCTTAGAGCAATGATGCATGTTCTGGGCTGACCCTTGTTCTCATTCACAATTCCTTCCCCTCTCAAGCTTCATGCTGCAGTATTCTGCTCCAGTTTGGAGACAGTTCCACCCCGCAAGATGTGGCTCACACAAGCCTTTAAATTATCACACAGCTGGTATTCATTTACCGTCACCAAGCAGAGAAGTAGCTTCAGACACAGGCTTTTGAGGCTTTCAGAACCTTCTGCACAGAGGAGTGAGTCCAAGCTCTCCATCAGATTCTGAAGAACGACAATCACATTATTTAAAACTCATATTTATAATTATTTGAAATATTTGTTATAAAAAAAAGCTTTTGGGGAGATTCAGATACAAGAGCACAAACATAAAGCCATGTTATTCCAGAATTAATAATCGAGCCATTACTCCCGTTACACAGACATATTCACACTACTGGTTCTCAATGTTGTTTTAACTACATTTTAATGACCACAGCCATAACACCATGATCGTTTGCCAAGAGTTTTCTCTAGATGCAGGACAGATTTTTGTATAACAATAGATTTTACTCACAGAGTAATTCTGAGCTTTACAAATACAACCTTCCTTTTCATTTGCAGACAGGAATATTCCATTTTACTTATGGGCACCATGAGTTGTACACAGCACAACTCCAATTTAGCAGTACATCTATTACTTGTGATTAAAATTAGATAGTACATAGCTGTTTGACAGATGTTCACAATTGTTTTCTAAATACTAAGTTACAGATAATATAGTTATTCTTACAGGAAAAAAGTAGCTCTGATAGGCAAGTTACTACTAAATATTTTCCCCAAATATCCTACTATTTGTAGAGAGATGAATAATTGCTACTTTTTGTAGAAAGATAAAAGAACAGGAATTCAGCTTTATCACTAATTACTTCATCATTTCTCAAAAGTCAACATCCTCACAGTGAAGAGCAACAAGTAAGTTTAAAACGGTACATGTGCTGATGGAAATGCAACAACACAGGGTGTGACTATCAGCTAAAAATTAAGCACAAGGTATGAGACTCAATACTAGATACTAATGGCCAATGACAGCTACTTATGGCCTTAAGATTTCTTAACCATAGTGACTGCATAGCATGGAATTAAAGGAAAAGAAAGATAAATGCTCCGTTACATTACTAACAAAGACAGGGAGCCCAAGTGACTTTGTGCCACTAGCGGGTAAAGAACTTCAGGACAGCTGTTTTTAATAGGTGGCTGGAATATTTCACCAAAAAGCTGCACCCTGGTAGACACATCTGTCTACAGATCACTGCCCCTGCAACCCGGCTGCTGGGCAAACAGTTTCTCTACGTTGCCAGGGCCTCACCTTCATACATAGCTCTGCCTTATCAAAACCCACAAGCATGTTGATGATGTCAAACCCAGAAGTGGATTTGTTCTTCTGATGGACACCCCGAATCAATGCACACAAAGTCTGCAAAGAGACAAATCAGAGAGTAACATGTAAGACAACACTTCCAATTCCACAGCAAAACCCACCCTAAAACCTCCCAGCACTGGCAAAGCACAGACATTTAAATTAATCCCACCAGCCTGGAAGCCATACATTTTGTCTCATCTCTCCTGCACCCCTGCTGTTTCTGAGGAGGACCTTGGATGCTAAGAACTCAAAAAAAATAGAGAATACATTTGTACATATTTTTCCTGTTTTTTCTTTATTTCGTTGCACTCTGAAGAAAGACAATCTTACTGCTTCTTCTGTACACACACAGTTTGTACCAGACAGGACCACAACCTTTGGAAAAGCTAAGTGTGGCTTTAAGGCCAAAAACATTGATCAGGGAACTGCAAGGCAGAAGCAGTGTCCCATACATGGACAGACACACCTTGGAGCTTTCCAGATTAATGTCTCATTTCAAGCTTGCCAAATTCAGATGCATACAGCACAGCTCATCACATGATGCCTGTCCATAAAGCACATGCTTTTGCTATAGAAAGCACAAATGTCTGTTTGGTTACCACACTGCTATACTGAGTCTGAGCAGCAAACTGTCTCTTTGTCAAAACAAAAAAAAAGAAAAAAAAAAAAGGAAAAAATGTCTCCTCAGGGGCTCTATGAACCTTCCCACTAAACACAAGATTCTTCACATTTCTTGATGCAGGCACTGGATTACTGCTTTCAGATACTGGAGTGCTGTGTCCAGCTCTGGAGTCCTCAGCACAGGAAGGACATGGACCTGTTGGAACGGGTCCACGAAAATGATCAAAAGGCTGGAGCACCTCTCCTATGAAGACAGGCTGAGAGAGCTGGGGGTGTTCAGCCTGGAGAAGAGAAGGCTCCGGGGAGACCTTATAACAGCCTTCCAGTACCTGAAGGGGCTCCAGGAGAGATGGGGAGGGACTCTTGATGAAGGAGTGTAGAGATAGGACGAGGGGTAACGGTTTTAAATTGGAAGAGGGGAGATTTAGATTAAAGACCAGAAATAAATTCTTTTCTGTGAGGGTGGTGAGAGCCTGGCCCAGGTTGCCCAGAGAAGCTGTGGCTGCCCCATCCCTGGAGGGGTTCAAGGCCAGGCTGGATGGGGCTTGGAGCAACCTGGTCTGGTGGGAGGTGTCCCTGCCCAGGGCAGGGGGTTGGAACTGGATGATCTTTAAGGTCCCTTCCAACTCTGACCATTCTGTGATTCTATGATTCATACCGAGTTCTTGGAGTTCACTGGCCACATACAGGTACCAGCACACTACACTTCAAGCAAACGCTCCGTAAAATTCCTGGACAGCAATGTCTCATTTGCCCCAACAGAGGGAAATGTCTGCAGTGACTGTCATCATCAGGCACCTCTCACGTTTGTGAAGGGAATGAGCAGGAATATAACCACTGACGGTTTAGACTCCAACTTAAATTCACCTGTGAGAAGTAATTAGCTTCAGAAGACGTAAAGCCAGAGGGAAGCAGACCTCAGTGAATGAGCAGACCTCTAGAACCATACAGAAGCAAAAGGGTAAGGTAGGCATCCTTTTCTTCCATTATTGTCAGAGACAGAATATTGGACTAAACAAACCTTTGGTCACCGTGGCCATTCTCAAGAAAAGATTGCTTAAGTAAGATTTGGCTTCAGGATCACTTTCCACGTGAACACAGTCTGATTAAGGGAATGCTCTCTCAACCCAAGCTCCGGATGTGTCACCTGATTTCTATTTACATTCACACAGCAGGATTCTAGATTTGAGCTTTGGCCTAACTTTTGCTATGAGCCTGAATACAAATTAGTAAATTCAGGGCTGGGCTAGACTGTCTATAGTGCTATAACTACACTATTTAATAGCACCCATTCAAATTAATTTAAAAAAAAAAAAAACTATGCAAGATTATGTGTCATCAGAGGGGTAAATCTTCTCAGTTTTACATCAACTTTTCCCAGCTTCCTGCCTGCCCAGTTTCTTATAGGTTGATTTCTCCAAACATTATATTCATATACTGTATTCCTACAGTTGAGAAGCTGGGACAAATGCATTCACCAAACTGTAAGAATCAGACTGTGAACTAATAACATCAAATATCAAGACTGAGAAGGGCAGTCTCCCACACAAGACATGGGATAGCACAGCTTTGGTAAGGAACAACCTCCAGGAAAGCGTTTATTAACTCTGGGTGACAATTCTTCACAACTTCCAATTAGAAAGTGTCCAGCAGGGACAATCTCCTGTATAAATATCACACTAACCTCACCAGAGCTTGCTTTCATTTTTGACCCATAAGGAAATTCATAAAGGGGCTGAAATGGGGGAGAACAGAAGAAAGTAGAAGACAAAGCAGACAGCCTGCAGTGTGAACAAGCCCCTCTTGTCCCTCCATTGCCACCTGCTTCACCCTGCATCACCATATCCTCTTGAATTCTGAAACAAGCCACTGTTCTTCAAAGACTCAAGAGACTATAAACGTTTGTAACGTCCACAGACAATAAGCAGCAACTGCTCTGTAGACGCCACTTGTCAGAATGAAAGAAAGGAGCACAAGTTGTTTGATAGCAGCAGCAAACGTATTGCCTTAAGACAAGCAAAAGAGAGAGTTCTCTGTCTCTGGATGTGGTACCTGTAGTGCATTGACCACTCTGATCGGGTGCTCCTCACCCAGTGCCTGGATGCAGTGCTGAAACAAGCAGTTGATGTTATCTTTTATCTTCATTAGCTCTTCCCCATCCAGCGCCTCCAGCTTGCCTTCTAGGTATTCCAAGTTGACCTGTTAGGTTAAGAAGCAGTTTATGCATGTTAGACACCCGCTGACACCTTAGAAAAGCAAGTCCCTGCACCGACACTCTGCCACTTCATAGGCAGAACAGTAAATTCCCCTTACCTTCATGAGAAACAGCTCCTCCCAAAACCTAGGGTTGCATTTACTGGGGTCCTCTGTCTGAAAGGAAATGGAAGAGCCATGAGAGCAAACAGGAAGGAATCAATCAGGCAGAATTTAAACAAAATAATCACTCAAGAGTCAGCATCATCCCATTGGATGACCAAGTGGACTCACAGTATAAAATTCTGTCTACACAGATTCCCAGAAATAGAAGGACAAACAGAAGCAGCTCAATTGGGATGCCTCTGTATATTTTCTGGATTATTTCTGATAAATACTTGAAAAGCTGTGACTTCCCCTAGATCAGAAATGGTTGTGGAAGACAACAGGACAAGGTGACTTTAAGGAAGAGAGCAGAGTATAGCACTCTGCATGACAGCAGGGGAGCCTGAAGCGTATGTCTACGTATATCCTTGGGAAAAGAACCACCATGCTCTTAGCACAAACTAAACCAAGAAAATTTAACACAACACTTCAGAAAGAAGAGACATTCAAGTCCTTACCGTGAAAATCTCATCGTACATCAACACAACTTTCTCCTTCAAGGGCTTCTTGGAGGCTGAAGATTTGCGGAGCAGCCCACCTTTCTTCTCTGTTTGGGCCATGCTGTACACCCTGAAGGTAAGAAGAGGCAAAAAAGGCTAAGGAAACTTGGAACTTTTCTTCAAGGCATATCTGCCCTGCCTCAACCATGAAAGATGTTTTCATGCACTGAAATAATAATAGTTTCTCACAAGCTGAAAGTAGAGGTTTTAATAACTATAGCAGATAAGAAATCAGATCAAAGGTCCCTTCTAGTCTTATAGCCCATTTCAAGCCCATTTCAAAGAAAGATGCAAAAGTCCAGGCACAAGCACATACAGAATAAGCTCATTATGGATAAATTTTCTTAATTCTTCCCTGCTAGAAACTGACTCATGATCCAGACCAATGCAATTTACATCTAGAAAAGTATGTATTTTTTTAATCTTGTTGCATGAATTGTGATACTTGTTACCAAATGGATACTCCATCCTTTTCGGGGCAGGTTAAACCTCAAAGACATCTTGTGACAAAAAGCTTGTGGAAATGTTTGAAAAAGTCTTATCTGTTTAATTAGCTGCCTTCCAAAGGCACTTCAAATTCTGCGTTTGCACTCTGAGGTGACGTCCAATGTTAAGAAACATTTGGCTGCAAAGCCTCCCTGAAGCACTCCTGCCACCTCTGCTCATCCCTACCTCTGCACCTTGGCATCCCTCCGCCCTGCCAGCTGCTCTGCAAATCAAGCCAGAAAAGAACCCCAGCCCTAAAAGCATCACACATGGTTCAGTTTGGGGAGGAGGATGGAGAAACACAGGGGAGAAGCTTTGCACGGATTTTTTTTTTTTTTTTTTTTAAACCAAATGAATTTCCTGACCTATTTGACAGCAAAGGGTTTTCTAGAAACACAAACAGTTTTTACTATAATTAATTGGTATCTCATGCTTACTGGTTATCCTATTAAGAAAAAAAAGGAAGTATCATTATTACAAAATGAGCTGTTACAAAAAGTAACAGCCATAGCTGCAGTCCTGAACCTTCTGTGACAGTCAACCCATCCCAGGGGCTGAGAGCCTGAACACATGACTTGCCACGTACCCTTAACCTCATGTCTGATGCCACAAAGCTCATCACCACTCTGACCTTGCAGATACACATTTATCTGCAATCACAGTTTTTCTGGTGAGCATCACAGCTTTAGTACTCTTCTAACCTCCTCTATCACTGCAGCACTGCCAGAGGTACTTTGCAGAAAGGGAATGCCATCCCTTCTCTCACATCCCTAAGCTCCCCACTTTTCTCCCTTACCTCCATAGGTAATTACACACGCGGCAGCAGCACAGCTCAGGCAGAGGCTTGACTTAAGTCATGCTCCAGAAAAAGATGGGCTCTTGTGGCAGCTGCACTCAGCTGTGCTAAATTATGCATCGAGAGGCAAGTTCATTGCAGTCAGCATCTAAGACCCCAGAGCTTTCTGAGCTGGCAGACACAGCTTTGGATTTAGCCTCCACCCCAGGCTGCCTGAACCCCTTCCACAACCACAGCACGTTCAGATCTGTCTTCCCCTCAAAGAACAGGTTCCAGCAACTACTGAGTGCCAGTTCCAGATCTCTTCTACATTCTCTCTGCTGCAGACAGCTTTCGATTGCCTTAGACTACACAACTATGTTCTCAACCAGGACTCCCAGGCTCCCAGAGGTTATTCAGACATCCATCCCTTGGGCCGTAAATCTCAGTTCCAAAACAGCAGGAAAGCATCTCTGAGGCTGGAGAAACACTGCTGCTGCAGAAGGCTCTGCCCCAGGTGTGAAAGGCAGATTTGCCTGGGTGGGGAAGCAGAGGGTTGGGCAGAGAGCAGCTCATCTCACCCCTGAAGAGCTGAGATTTATACAGGAAGGGGGTGCAGGTGTTCTCTCTTCCCTCTAGGAAGGGAACATGCACAGCTTGATGGTTAAGGGCTGATGTGTGTGTTGGGGTGACAAAAGAAACAGGCTCAACTTAGCAACTACTGCATCTTAACCTGCTGTAAATACAGAAATTACTCCTGTAGCCTAGTAGGGCTACACATCCAATTAAGATGGAAAAAAGGTTTCAGACTAACAAACGAGAACATTATTCAACCATCTTGATAGCTTCTCTTTTACAGACTTTGCATTATTTTTAAACTGTCATGGGAAATAAGACATTATTCTAATTAGAAACATAATTGGAAACAGAGAGAAATCTATTAAATACCAAATCAAGAACGATGTCGCTTTTAGCCCAGCAATACAAATCTTACCTAAGACTGCACAAAACCATTTCCCAACTAGATTTGTACATTTCTGAACCTAAAGCAGCCGCCAGCCCCAACATCCAAACACATCCATCAGCATGCTTCTAATTGAATTACAGCTAATGAATCCCAATGTCAAAACTAATAAAGTAGCTCTCAGTGCTTCTAGGTCAGCGTTCTCACATCAAATGTGGACGTGAATGGGAGGGGATCAATACACTCTGCTTAGTCCCTCAACTTTGAGCGCTGCATTTTAGCACTTTTCCTACATTTCCAGAAAGACAGAAAAAAATCTAAATCCCACAAGACACAAAGGCTCGACGTGGGGCGAGCATCAGAGAGATCGCATGATCATGTGAAAATTCTGCTCTCTTTCAAAATGGGACCTGGGATTCATATTCTCTCAACTAAAGCAGCACAGAGCACATCCAGAGAAGACTGCTAGAGGCAAGGATTAAATAATACTCTTGTTTATAATTTGTTATTCTACAAATGAGCATATGGAGGAGCAAGGGGAGAAAAGTAAAAGTCGCCTTTTATGCCAACGCTTCATTAGGCTGTGCTTGTTTCATGACCTATGATGATCAGGCTGTACAAATGGCTTTTTTCTTTTCACTTTATGCAATTACATTTTCTAGATGTCATAAAGACAGAAACGGGAAACTGCATTTTGCTAATGGGGACCTTCCAGGCAGCTACAGAAAACAACAGTTAAAAGGCACAAAACATTTCTAAATAAGTTGTAGAAGTGTCAAATTATCAGGACGTCACGACAGCTTCTGAAAACAACGCTGAATACAGTTAACAATTATCCTTCAAAAGCATCACATTTTAAAAGCATCAGTGCATCTTCCACATTTTAGGTTCAAATGGATAATTTATTCTGTCAATAGGTCAGTCCCATTAACACATGCTGCTAAGTGAATCCTGCTGTAGCCACTGACTGCACAGGAGAATCACCCCTCAGGGCCGAGAGAGGCACACGCATGTGGATTTTCAGAACTGCAAGTACTTTGCTGTGCAGCAGAAGATCCACGATGCTTCATCTGGAACTAAGAGCAAGCTCGACAGAGCACAAGTCTTGGCAGCTCAAAGGCAGGAAGATAAAAGCCATGGCAGACAGAAGTTCAGGCAGACTCTTGCTTTATCTACCATCAACCCCGGGGTCAGCTGATCCAGTCGAGTAGAAAGGGATGAGCACATCCAACCATCCGCCTCCTTTCCACTTCATTCCAGATCTCATAGCCCAGATTCCAACCAAACATGTGACATTCAGATGAAGACATCTCTGTTAGCTTTTCATAAGGGAAGGGAACCTGACGGGGAAAACGAACCTGACATTTTGAGTCTGAGGTTTACTCAGACTTGTGCACATGGAAGACTCTGGCTGCTCCACATCACCGCTCAGCTCCTGTACAGACTCATTATTATTCCATAGATCAGCTTATAATAGCAAAAATACTACTGTAGAGAACATAACACTAATCCACATCTACACTATAACGACATCAGAATCCAAAACTTGTAACTTCTGTAATCTTGCATGCAGCCCATCAAGCACCGTATTTTGCATGTAATTGCCTCGGCTAACGAACCTGAAAGCTTTCAGGATTACAGCTGCATACACACAACCCCCACATACAACCAAACAGGAATAAGTGCGGGTTTTTTTTTCAGTGCAGACCCCTCAAAAAATACACTGTAGCACTTCTTGGCTAAATAAAAACAAAACTAACAGATGACATAATATGTTAAAATACCATTTTGACTTACTTGGCAGAGCACTTATTCCCTGTCTGAACAAGGTAGTGCAAATTATGTGATCTATATTAATTTGTTAATGTCAAAGCTCTGAGCCAAAGTTCAATCAATATTTATAAAAATTGACTAAGAACTGAGATACTTTTCCTTTTAGAATCCAATATCCCTTGGCTTGCCACTGCTATTAACATTGGACTCGCTTGTTTAAACATTGCAAGGCCAGTAATTGCCCCCGCCACCAACTGCACGCCCTTGTGCAATTGACACACTGTGATCACACTTTGCCTTTCTAGGTGTTTTGCAGCTCTATCACTCAAGCCTACAGGAAAGCTGTTCAAAAATTATCCCAATCATGCAAGAGAGGGGGATAAACCCTCACCTAAAAGTTAACCTAAAGCTTCCAAAGCAATGGGCTATAAACCAAGTAACCATTAAACTCTTTGGGGAAGCTCTAGGAGAAGCTTGAACTTGATACATGAGGTGGATCTGCAGAGTCAGAATTGGACCTGAGCAACAAGCAGTTAGAAGACAGGTTCCAGCCCTTCATCACGGGAAGCAACAGACCATCTGTCCCCAGCACAACAGTCGATGAATCCCGATGCACAAAGAGGGCCTTGACCCAGTTCAAGCTTTGGAATTAAACCCCCCCGCCAGGACCACCCGACAGCAGCCTGGAGGACCACTACTGAAAACAGAGAGAGGAGGAACAGGTTGGGCCGGATTTTGTCAAGGCTTTAGCAATCATCATGACCAAATTCCTGCTAGAAGCCCTTCTGCAGCTTCTGTTCTGCCAACTTTTGCATCGGTGCTTGCGGTTCAAGTTGGCAGGTCCATGCTGCTTTTATATTTCATTCGTTCTTTACAAACTTATTTGTATATTGTCCATTGGAATGGAAACTGCCCAGACTGCGCCTTGCTTTACAGCTGTAAGGTGCTCAACCCACCACCAAGGGAAACAGGAGTGCTCCATGAATAGTAACACAGCACACAAGCCTTGGATCCATCTGGAAGAATTTCCAGGTGCAGCACATAATGAGAAATACACTCTGAGGGTGTGCTGATGACAAAACCCCACATAGATCCTGCTCCTTTTTTCTGCAGTACCAAGCAATATAACCTCCAGCACAGCCCCACTATACGCAAGTCCTTCCACCCCGCTCAGAGCACTAGCAGTGTATGTGCTTCTCCACAGTAAAAGCTACACCACCACTGACCTATTTTCCCCCCCTTGAAAAACAGGAGAAACAGCTTCCTAATGCAGATACAGTCACAGAATTTCCCCCCAGTACACCTGCTTTAGCAATGATATAAAAGAATAACATCCAAGCTACATTTTTAACACTTCATCTGTAGTTGTCTTTCATTTCTATCCGTCCAGTTAAAATAACACCCCGT